AAGTTTCTCCAATCTTCCCAAATTCTGATAGAGGGCCATGAGACTTAGACCTGAGTGCAAAAATGGAGGCTCTAGCCCCTTCCAGAGCTGAGATATCGAAACTCAAAAATTCGGCCGAAAAAAAAACGACAGTGGTACCCCTTACGTTTTTTTTTTTTTTGGGCGAAAAATTAAGTTTCTCCAATCTTCCCCAAATTCTGATAGAGGGCCATGAGACTTAGACCTGAGTGCAAAAATGGAGGCTCTAGCCCCTTCCAGAGCTGAGATATCGAAACTCAAAAATTCGGCCCGAAAAAAAAAACGACAGTGGTACCCCTTACGTTTTTTTTTTGGGCGAAAAATTAAGTTTCTCCAATCTTCCCAAATTCTGATAGAGGGCCATGAGACTTAGACCTGAGTGCAAAAATGGAGGCTCTAGCCCCTTCCAGAGCTGAGATATCGAAACTCAAAAATTCGGCCCGAAAAAAAAAACGACAGTGGTACCCCTTACGTTTTTTTTTTGGGCGAAAAATTAAGTTTCTCCAATCTTCCCAAATTTCTGATAGAGGGCCATGAGACTTAGACCTGAGTGCAAAAATGGAGGCTCTAGCCCCTTCCAGAGCTGAGATATCGAAACTCAAAAATTCGGCCCGAAAAAAAAACGACAGTGGTACCCCTTACGTTTTTTTTTTTGGGCGAAAAATTAAGTTTCTCCAATCTTCCCAAATTCTGATAGAGGGCCATGAGACTTAGACCTGAGTGCAAAAATGGAGGCTCTAGCCCCTTCCAGAGCTGAGATATCGAAACTCAAAAATTCGGCCCGAAAAAAAAACGACAGTGGTACCCCTTACGTTTTTTTTTTTGGGCGAAAAATTAAGTTTCTCCAATCTTCCCAAATTCTGATAGAGGGCCATGAGACTTAGACCTGAGTGCAAAAATGGAGGCTCTAGCCCCTTCCAGAGCTGAGATATCGAAACTCAAAAATTCGGCCCGAAAAAAAAACGACAGTGGTACCCCTTACGTTTTTTTTTGGGCGAAAAATTAAGTTTCTCCAATCTTCCCAAATTATTGATAGAGGGCCATGAGACTTAGACCTGAGTGCAAAAATGGAGGCTCTAGCCCCTTCCAGAGCTGAGATATCGAAACTCAAAAATTCGGCCCGAAAAAAAAACGACAGTGGTACCCCTTACGTTTTTTTTTTTGCGGCGAAAAATTAAGTTTCTCCAATCTTCCAAAATGGATTCTGATAGAGGGCCATGAGACTTAGACCTGAGTGCAAAAATGGAGGCTCTAGCCCCTTCCAGAGCTGAGATATCGAAACTCAAAAATTCGGCCCGAAAAAAAAACGACAGTGGTACCCCTTACGTTTTTTTTTTTTGGGCGAAAAATTAAGTTTCTCCAATCTTCCCAAATTCTGATAGAGGGCCATGAGACTTAGACCTGAGTGCAAAAATGGAGGCTCTAGCCCCTTCCAGAGCTGAGATATCGAAACTCAAAAATTCGGCCCGAAAAAAAAACGACAGTGGTACCCCTTACGTTTTTTTTTTTGGGCGAAAAATTAAGTTTCTCCAATCTTCCCAAATTCTGATAGAGGGCCATGAGACTTAGACCTGAGTGCAAAAATGGAGGCTCTAGCCCCTTCCAGAGCTGAGATATCGAAACTCAAAAATTCGGCCCGAAAAAAAAAACGACAGTGGTACCCCTTACGTTTTTTTTTTTGGGCGAAAAATTAAGTTTCTCCAATCTTCCCAAATTCTGATAGAGGGCCATGAGACTTAGACCTGAGTGCAAAAATGGAGGCTCTAGCCCCTTCCAGAGCTGAGATATCGAAACTCAAAAATTCGGCCCAAAAAAAAAACGACAGAAAAAAACCGACTGGTACCCCTTACGTTTTTTTTTGGGCGAAAAATTAAGTTTCTCCAATCTTCCCAAATTCTGATAGAGGGCCATGAGACTTAGACCTGAGTGCAAAAATGGAGGCTCTAGCCCCTTCCAGAGCTGAGATATCGAAACTCAAAAATTCGGCCCGAAAAAAAAACGACAGTGGTACCCCTTACGTTTTTTTTTTGGGCGAAAAATTAAGTTTCTCCAATCTTCCCAAATTCTGATAGAGGGCCATGAGACTTAGACCTGAGTGCAAAAAATGGAGGCTCTAGCCCCTTCCAGAGCTGAGATATCGAAACTCAAAAATTCGGCCCGAAAAAAAACGACAGTGGTACCCCTTACGTTTTTTTTTGGGGGGCGAAAAATTAAGTTTCTCCAATCTTCCCAAATTCTGATAGAGGGCCATGAGACTTAGACCTGAGTGCAAAAATGGAGGCTCTAGCCCCTTCCAGAGCTGAGATATCGAAACTCAAAAATTCGGCCCGAAAAAAAAACGACAGTGGTACCCCTTACGTTTTTTTTTTTTGGGGCGAAAAATTAAGTTTCTCCAATCTTCCCAAATTCTGATAGAGGGCCATGAGACTTAGACCTGAGTGCAAAAATGGAGGCTCTAGCCCCTTCCAGAGCTGAGATATCGAAACTCAAAAATTCGGCCCGAAAAAAAAACGACAGTGGTACCCTTACGTTTTTTTTTTTTGGGCGAAAAATTAAGTTTCTCCAATCTTCCCAAACTCTGGATTCTGATAGAGGGCCATGAGACTTAGACCTGAGTGCAAAAATGGAGGCTCTAGCCCCTTCCAGAGCTGAGATATCGAAACTCAAAAATTCGGCCCGAAAAAAAAACGACAGTGGTACCCCTTACGTTTTTTTTTTGGGGCGAAAAATTAAGTTTCTCCAATCTTCCCAAATTCTGGTAGAGGGCCATGAGACTTAGACCTGAGTGCAAAAATGGAGGCTCTAGCCCCTTCCAGAGCTGAGATATCGAAACTCAAAATTCGGCCCGAAAAAAAAACGACAGTGGTACCCCTTACGTTTTTTTTTTTTTGGGGCGAAAAATTAAGTTTCTCCAATCTTCCCAAAACTCTGGATTCTGATAGAGGGCCATGAGACTTAGACCTGAGTGCAAAAATGGAGGCTCTAGCCCCTTCCAGAGCTGAGATATCGAAACTCAAAAATTCGGCCCGAAAAAAAAAACGACAGTGGTACCCCTCACGTTTTTTTTTGGGGCGAAAAATTAAGTTACTCCAATCTTCCCAAATTCTGATAGAGGGCCATGAGACTTAGACCTGAGTGCAAAAAATGGAGGCTCTAGCCCCTTCCAGAGCTGAGATATCGAAACTCAAAAATTCGGCCCAAAAATGGATATTTTTCTATTTTTTCTATTTCGAGCCTTGTTAGTGGTATAAACTAGTGATTTCTTTTTACTTAGTAAATGCCCCAGTACTAGCAATATACGCTAAAAAGTTTTTTAGAGATAAAACTCTACATCCGATTATCATGAAAACAAATCTCAGAGAACAGTTGACTAGGTACTGATATTCGATTAGACCAAAGGTTCATTTTGCTCCAGAGTTCTCCTTTAATATAATTTAAAAAACATTAAACTGTCATAAAAAAATTAAGTCACTGGGTCACATCAGCAGCTTTGTTGACATTTAGCCTTCTTATTAAAATCTGGCACACTGTAAACTGCAGTTATCAAGGATAGAAGCATCACACACAAGTTCTCAATTCCGCTGAACCGTTTAATTATTACCTCATCATTTGAATCAATAGCGGTTGAAACCCACATACATGCCGAGCAGACAGTACAACTGTCTATCTGCTTAAATAATGGATTTGGTGATCCTGTTAGTATGCTTTCTAAAATATAAAATCAAGTCAATTTGGGTATAAAATTAAAGCCATTCTATGTGAGGTAGAGGGTTGTTAAGGATGTTGGTAAACTCTAATGCTGCCTTGCTGGATTTGGTGATCTGCAGCCGTTAGACAACCTGACAAATTATTTTTAAAATGCAGAGAGAAGTTTTTACTGTGTGAACACCAGACCTAAAAGCTAATCTACTACGACCAGCACAGCGCCTTTTAACTGGCCTTTTAACTTCTTTGTGTTCCAAATAAAGGTATATCCTTTTATGACTCACAGGTACCAACTCTCTATGGACAGTAAAGAAGATAACAGCTCAAAGTGGGGGATCTGTCACCATTCCCTGTCACTACCATCTCCTGCACAAAGACCTTCCTAAGTTCTGGTGCAAAGGAAAAAACTGGATAACCTGCTTGACAATGCATCCTACCAACCAAGAGAAGCGAACCGGCATTAGCTTTTACAACAGCCCAGATGAACTGGTAACAACCATGACGATGACAAACCTACGCAGAAGTGATTCAAACCGCTATTGGTGTGCCGTGAGGAAGCCAGGTTCCAATGTTAGAACATCTTTAGAACTAACCGTCACTGAGGGTAAATGTTTTTGAGATGATTCAGCACCGCTATGAGACTATTGATGGTTCCAAGAGTAATTCGTTTTGCCCTTTTGATTGTTTTCAGGTACTCCAGATCTGTCAGTGGCCAGCAATAGGGTGTCAGGTGAAGAGGGCGGCAATGTTACCGTCCAGTGTCTTTACAGTGACAAACTTATAGATGAGGAAAAAAAATGGTGCAGAAGTGGAGATTTACGCTCTTGTCAAACGGCTCAAGATTTAGAGCCATCCCACGGTGCAGCGCTACAGATAAATGATACAAATGATGGGGTTTATACAGTGACACTGACTGGACTGAAGTGGACAGACGCGGGCTGGTTTTGGTGTATGGCTGGGGAAGTGCAGGCTCCTGTTCATATCAAAGTAAATTCAAGGCAACTCATTACAGATGCCAACACAAGTACGTTTTAAACAACAGTTGTTCACATATATAGCAACAGGGGTTTCTTTTTCTGCAACATAAACACATTTAATTTGAGTTCATATATAATATTTTAGCTATTATGAAGGCAACAATGGATAATTGGCCTTGGATATTAAAAGTAAGCAATAAGGTACGTGAGGCTGTGCTGTATCGAGAATAACCAACGCATTCTCATCCCAAGACGTCATATACGGCACTTTTGCCAAAGCGTAGACAACCAACGCACATGGCACCCTTTAGCGTCAAATGAGACGCTTCGGTTATGGTAGGTTTAGGTGTGGGTTAGGGTTAGACCACTAGGAGGCGCCTTCTGCCCCTGTCTCATTTGACGCTAAAGGGATGAGAACGGGCTCGAATAACGCCTGAAGGGCGTTGTTAGGCACAACGCGAACCCATTACTTTCAAGTAAATTTGCTGCGTTGACCAACAGAAACCTGCTTGTTTGTTGTGTTTGTGAGCTGAGCTTCATTCAACACTAAACTATTGACATTGGATAGTGGACCTTTTTTTTTGCAACAAAATCCAATCAAAATGTCAAGTGTGTCATTTGAAGAATGCTGGTAACCATGTTGACGGTAGTAGCCATTGACTTCCATGGTTGGAAAAAAATACAAGGCTACTGTCAACTTTCTTGTTACCAGCATTCTTCAAAATATCTCCTTTTGAGTTCAACAGAAGAAAGAAATTCATACAGGTTCGAAACAACTTGAGGGTGAGTAAATTATTGGGTGAACTATCCCTGGCCTTTAAGACTTTTGTTGGGAATCACCAACAGTGTAGTAGACAGGAAAGTAGGGATAAGAAACTGGGTCCTGTGAACCAACATCTTATATCCTGAATGGTATAAAGTATTTTAACATTCAATAAAGGACACACTTCTCCTTCAAAGACAATAATAGACTTTCATGATGAGTTTCTTGATAAAGCAAAACAACACATTACTGCTGTTTAAAAGACTGTGTGTCAAATCTGACCTGCTCCTTTTTATTTACAGCACCATTCTTCACTTCAGCTATGGATGTACACAACCATAATTCAATCACACCTCCTATACCCGCAAAACCAAAATTACCAGAAAGCACTTTGATTCAGACTGCAAGTCCTGGCCAGGCATCTACAACATCACCAAAGAAAGTTTATTCTACGATACAGTCCTCATCCTATCAAACCACAACGGAGAACTCAAAAGAGAACCCTTCTCACAGCAGTGGTACAGTTACGACTCCACTAACCACATCAACATCTCCATATGTTAATGGTAACTCTATAGTTACTGTTGACCTAATGAAAACCACTTATGAAAGCAGGTATGTATTCATCAAATTCTAGCTGATAACATATCTCATCTTCGGTAAGTTTAACAATTCCCTTTTTTTGTTTCAGACATCTTAATCGGGTGATTGCGCTAGTGTGTGGAGCAGTGCTTATATTATTTGTGTTTTTTGGAGTTTCTTGGAAACTGTGGTCATGGAATAGTAAGACATCTATTATGATTATTATTTAATGAGGCCGTTTAATAACTAATGCACTTAGTTGTTCGATAAGCATTCACTTGTCAATATTTAATAGAAATGTATAATTTTTTCCTGAACATTACAGAAAAGGCCGCCACAAGAGAGGAAGCAACAGAAAAAACAACAGACCTGCATGTAAATAAATATTTAACAATATCAAATATATTAGTAAAAAAAATTTGAAAAATATTTGCTTAAAAAAATTTATGAAATAAAAAAATGAATTGTTCATTTATACACCTGTAACAAAGAAGCAACACAGCATAAACTTTGGGGACTGTGGAGAGTTGATTTGCTGATATCTTGTTATGTTTTATTCGATATAGGAAAACGACAGAGATGATCTACTGGCCAATGAATGGACTAATACTTCAGTTGTGCAGTTCAGCACAGACTCAAACTCTGTCCTAATAACATAATCTGTTGTACAGTTGAGACTACTGAAACACAAAGATGGATTTAAAACATGTATGTATTTTCTGACATGTATTTTTCATGTTTAAAGTTCATTATTGTATGTGCAACATTTCAGCCATAGATTAATTATAAATGTTAGCTATATTATGTTCACCACATGTCTAGCGATGTATGTTTGTGCTAAAATGGTTTGTCGTGAATAAACATTTATGTTTTTTGAGTTGAGTTGGCTCACATGATTTAGGAAATTTTGTTAAGGGAACATAGCAAACCTTTAAAGGCACAATATGTATTTTTTCTGCTTTAAAAATAGCAAAAATAACTGTATTTATGTTGTATATTTCTATTAGATGTGTACTTACATTATCCCGACAGTTTCCACCAACTTTCAAATACGGAGAAATTTATAGTTATACACGGGACGTTTCTTTATTTCCGTTTCGTCGCCCGTCTATGGCGCCATATAACATTTGACTCCTCTATTTTCTCTAACTTCCTGCGGAACCCGGCGAAACCGCCAAACACAAAGGGGAACACTGGACTACCACCAAAAAAGCAAAGAAAACGACGGAGAAAAAAAAGTAGTACGTATTTTCCGCACTATAAGGCGCACTTAAAAGCCTTTAATTTTCTCAAACAACGCCAGAGCGCCTTATAATCCAGAGCGCTTATATATGGATCAATTGGTTAACAACGCTCCGCATTATTAAATTCGCCCGCGAACTCGCGCTCGTGTCCATCTTATGCGTCCCAATTCAGAGGCTGCATTTGAATAACAAATGTATTACAGCGGCGCAACAAAGGCCGTCCCAATTTAAAGGCTCCTTCGAACACGGCTTACAAATGTGTCCTTCGTTTCCCGCGGGCTGAAAGGATAGAATGGATGGATCCTTCGCAGCCTAGCCTATCCCAAGATTCATTGCGCACCAATGACGAAACGACAAGATTTTTTCAGAAGAAACTTACTTGAATGTCTAACAATCCATCGGAAAAAAACTACAACTTTAAAGTGGTTTAACTGTTGACACATTTACTAAGATGCAATTATATATATAAATATACATAAATGGACCAAGGTGAACATATTTAGACCTGCCGTGAGCAGTGTTTTGATCGCAAAAACCCAAAACTTTAGACAGAATCTTAACCAGGAACTTTACGTAAATAGGGTATATTTAAATTTCATGTTACATTTAACATGGAATACGGCTAACAAAATAGTTACCTAGCTAATAGTTTCATTCATTATATGGTGATTTGTTTGGCTGAATTCATAAAGCATAACATTTTTTATTGGCGTCATTAGAGCAGGGTCTCTCGTTCATTGTCCTGATTCTGAAGAGCCACTGTCCTGTAGAGTTTAGTTCCAAATCGAATGAAATGCACATGAATCACCTAATCAAAGTATTTTGGTTTAGTTGAATATTACAGCCAGGTGTGTTGGAGCTATACGCTAACTCTCCAGGTCAGGACCAGGAACAAGGAACAAGGAACAAACCGAAGATGGTGTTTTCCCCATTTATGTTAAATACCAGGAAATGATTTCATTGTTACTCTGACAAAATCCAGTTGAATCTGTTCTGTCCTGATGTTTGATTCTGTGTATGACAACTTCAACCTTTCATAAGAGTGTAAAATTATTATGACAAGGGGAGTGGTCTATTAATTACTCAAAAGTACTACACAAAAACAGCATGATTACAAAAAACGGCACATTCACCAAAGAATAGCGTGTTGGAATTATAAGGGCACTTTATACATTTGTCACCTGCAAACAACAAATCTGTTGACTCTTTGTTTAAAACTCAAACAAAGCAAAAACAAACAAAATATGAATAACAAAGATACTCAACAGTCCTGTCTCAGTCCTTTTCTGCTTTGGGGTAGGTAGGCAATCCAAAGTCTGGATGGAAAAATAATGTCCCCAAAAAGAGAAAAAGAATAAATCCACTGGTTCGAGGTCCCGCAAGAAAAAGGTCATCCTCCAGTTGGAATAAGTCCCCAAAAAGAGAACAAATAAATAAATCCACTGGTCCGAGGTCCCTCAAAAGTATAGTCCACCACGTACCAGAACATGCAAACATGAGACAACTCCAACGGCTAATAGACCATGTCTCTATTCCCAGAGTTCTAGGTTAGCCAAAAAACCATGCCACCTCACCAAACAACCTACTTTCAAAATGGCCACCCTTCCTCTTTTCCTTACCCTAGGCTGAACATAATGTAATAAGAGTCCTAAGATCCCAACAAAAGTTCCCCCCAACCAAAAACAAGCATAAACAAATGCTCAAAATCAAACATGCAGGAAGATTAACAAAAAAAATAAAACAGTTGATGTACCCCACTGACTTCCATAGTATTTTTATTTATCCTACCATGGAATTCAATGGGGCCCATCAACTGTCTGGTTACCAACATTCTTCGAAATATCTTCCTTTGTGTTTAACAGGAAAAAAGAAATTTATACAGTTTTGAAACAACTTGATGGTGAGTGACGACAGAATTTAAAATTTTAAGTGAACTAATCGTTTAAAGGACCTAAATTTTCCAATAGTTTTAAACTGAACAAACCTGTACATGGCTTCTACATTCCATGCAAATAAGATGAACATTAGAGGCCACAATATGCAAATGATATGACTAGTCCCAGAGAATCTAGCACAGTACGTTTATATACACACACATATATATATATATACACACACAAATATATACATACATACATACATACATACATACACACACATATATATATATATATATATAGTAAGTGAAAGTATTAATGGGTCAAGTGTTGAAATGATCAATTCATATTCCATTTTTGGAATTTTAGAACACAATCTAATCAAAGATTCGACCTGTAAATATAACACGAGTTGTCCATTGCTGGACTTTTGCAAGTTTAAGTTTAAAGGACCTTAATTTCCCAATAGTTTTAAACTGAACAAACCTGTACATGGCTTCTACATTACATGCAAATAAGATGAACATTAGAGGCCACAATATGCAAATAATATGACTAGTCCCAGAGAATCTAGCACAGTACGTTTATATATATATATATATATATATATATATATATACATATACACCCACACACACATATATATATATATATGTATGTATATATATATATATATAAAATAGTAAGTGTAAGTATTAATGGGTCAAGTGTTGATATGATCAATTCATATTCCATTTTTGGAATTTTAGAACACAATCCAATCAAAGATTCGACCTGTAAATATAACACGAGTTGTCCATTGCTGGACTTTTGCACAACTTTTTAAAAAAATATTCTATGGTTGAATAAAAGAAGAATTGTTTTATACCAGTTGAAGACACACACAATTAAATATGAAAGTCTGCTCCTGACAAATGACACAGACACATTCTTTGACTACATTTATCCTCAGCTTTATTTCAACAGGTGTGGACAGGCTTTAGTTAAGCATGTAATGATGAAAAGGATAACCCTCTCTCAATGTAAGTTATGCTCCTCTAAAGACATGTACACTGACCTCTGTTGGCAGACAGAAGGCGTTTAAATACAACTATTAGTCTCAGAAAACGTCCTCAACCATATTCAGGGATGAGGATATACCATCAAGTAACGATTAGTCCACGACTTCATTGCCTGAAATTATTTACTATATTACAAGCTTTTTACAACTTAAAAATAGATTAATAACTATCACTACCATATCTCCCTTTGCACTTGTAAATACACCATTTCTTAATTCTCGTATTTGTTTTGAAAATCCCGTACCGACATGTTAATCAGCAAATGTAAGGCAGAAGGAACAAAGAGGGGCAAAAAAGTTCATTAAAAAAAGTCCATCTAATCTACACTCAACATATGAAATATTAGCTCTCCTGCAGAACTGAAATGTAGACTATTCTCTGAAAAATAAACATGAACATCTAACAATGACACTGAATATACTCCAAATCTCCTCTTAATGTGTCTCGACTTTGCATGTTTGCCTAGGCTGACCGCAAACATCAATTGTACAATTAGATGAACATGATCATGAAATAACTAGTTACCACATTTCCCCAAACAATACCATTCAGTATAAGACCACTGTCCCAGTACCCTTAGTTATGGTCCTGTCATCCAAACAGCAGATGCACTGTTAAAAAAACTGAAGAAAATGAAGCAATACAGAGCAATTACATGCAAATACACTCAACGTTTATATTGGAGGTCTGTCCGGAAAAGCAGCATGCATTGAACTTAATCAAGTTCCGTAGCGGTTAAAACGCGGTTTTCGCTCGAAGGCAGTCTTTGATGCAAACCTAGTCCATAGGCAGCTTGAGGACAACCAGGTCACAAACGTAAAGTCGCATAACTGTGCCGTACTGTAACAGGAAAATTACAGGGAAGCCAGGTGAAAAATGTGAGGAGTATTGCTGGACGACAACTTCAAATCTGAAATAAAAACAATGAAAACTGCTGGTTCCCAAAGGAGGATCCGTGCTGATTTATTAATGGCAGAGCATCTGTTGGCACTTTTGGACCTGTTTCAACTTACCGGAGGGTAATGAAGTCCAACAAACCCCCTGAGAGAACTTAAAGGTAATGGCTGTTCCCTGTAGAGGGGCACGACGAAGACCAAAGACAAAAACGAAAAAAACATCTAAAGCAATAGCAGTTTTTACAGTTCAGTTCACGCTCAGCTACGTGACTCGCGTTATTCACAGTGCATAACATGGGGTAGCGACCGAGAGAGGGAAAATAAACAACAAGACATTGAACATGACTTGGTAGTTAAGACATTTTCCAGGGACACGCTTTCCGCTTCCCATCTCAAGCGCTACGCATTACCTACACACAGGCTCGGACGCCATTACACTTCTGCTAGCTCTCAGTGCACATTAAACCAAATGCGGTGAAATGTCAAGGGGGAAAATAAAGTGGGCCATTATTGATGGTGGAACGCAAACCTTTCCCTCCTCCGCGCAGGACAAAAGTGACGCGATGGAGCTGAGAGGAATGTTATCCGATGGGGGAATGGATGTTAATAAGGTGCAAGCTTTGTGTCTTTAGATGTGCATGTGAGATTGTCTGTTTATGAGCGCATGGGTCCGCGTGAAGAACCCTCGTCGCCGATGCAGCCCGAGCGACTGGTCACAGTGTTTACCTCCCAACAGGTGGCAAAGGAGGGGCTCCTCTCATTACTGCCAAACAAACACACACGCACACGCACGTATGAGTCCAAGCTCAGAGCACACAATCACTGTATTCATCCCTGTAGACATCAGGCAAATAAATTCAGCAAACTGAAGATGAAAAGCATGCAGCAGGTGCATCTACATTAACTCACAAACACGAGAGCACATAAGATCAAAGGAGGCTTTATGCTCATTGTGAGATTCATTACATTTATTTGTTGAAGTCTGTGAGGTTCTGAAACAAACTGATCTAGCAGTTCCTTTTCCTGAGACTTACCTCTGTTAGCTTTGCTTGGGTATATCTTAGTGAAGTGTCTATACTCTTCTGGAGGAGGGAAGTCGTCCAGGGGATGAAAAGAATACTTGGACTCAAAATCATCTGTTGAAAGAGACGATAGAAAATGAAAGAGTATTCAGAGATCAACAGAGAGAGATCATCAGACTCATTTGAAATAATGTACAATCGCATTCAAAAGTTTGTGGTCAGTAAAATTTACGTTGAAAAGTTTTATTCAGCTATTATTATGTAATAATATATTTATAACAAGCTGTTATTTCGATGTATCATGGCTTCTACAAAAATACTAAACGGAACAGCTGTTTTCAACATTGATATTCATAACAAGAAATGTTTCTCGAGCACAAATGTGTGTGTGACACTGAAGACTGGAGTAATGATCCTGAACATTCAGCTTTACCAACACAGGAATACATTTCAATTTACAATAGAATTGTAATATTATCTTTGCTTGAATATATGCAGCCTTGATGAGAAGATTCTTCTTTCCAATACGTTTTACAAATCTTACCAACCACAAATGTTTGAATGGTAGTACTACTTTTTTTAACAGCATTTCCAATATAAAAACCTTCAAACATTTAACAAAAAATAAATTCAGTTGGCTCATTTAAGTTCAACAGCCTCCATTTTTATGTCACTTTCATATGCCGTGACACACCAAAGCTGTCGGGCTAGTGTTTGCAGTGAGGGCTCACGTCGGCTGCACATGTTGAATCAGCGTTGGGGCCGTCATTGAGAGAGATTGGGCATGACAAACCACTGGATTACATTATGGATGATATAAGAAAAAGTGACCACATGCCGGATAACTAGGAAAGCATTGTAATGAAAAATCAGGTCTGAAATCAAAAATTCATGATGCGCTTGGCCCATAGCTGTCAACATTGAACATTGAAAATAAGTGAGATTTCCCGGAATCCATCCCCAAAATGAGGGATTTTTTTTTTCTTTTACACGATTCTTACCATCAAACTTAAAAAATAAAGCACTAACCATTAAAAGTCCAAAGAGTTTATAACTAGCCTACATATGTGTGAGAGAGAAAGAGACAGTGTGTCATTTTAAAAAAATATCATAGAGAATGTTTAAATACTCTAATATCAGCTTATGAGGGAAACCAAGGGGAAGTTAGTGGTGATCTGGAGGCTGAGTGCACCGGGAGAGGTCTGTGCACCTTTACCGATCAGATCACGTGCCGACACGGTGTAAAGCCTTAATACTCGACGCGTCTGCACGAGCGCGGCAAAAATTACGCGTTGGGTAAGCAAGACCGGCAAGACATCATTTCTCATGGCGCCGCGTCAGAGGATGAACGACTTCAAGCCGAATCTGTCCTAGCTTGTACGTCTCACACAGTCAGAGCGTAAAAAATTGGGATATTTTACGGGAAAATACTAAAACGAGAAGAAAGCGGGAAAAGAGCTAAAATACGTGAGAAACCCGGAAAAAAACAAAACGAAAATAAATAATAAATTAATAATCCATTAACTTGTTAAATAATCAACACTCAAATAGCAAAAACGGAGTTGTAAAAACATTTAAGGCAGTTTTTATATAAACTTTTTAATAACAGTTTTATTCAAACATACGTTAAATAATGAAGCCAAATAAAAATATAATTGAATATATACAGTGCTCTTTTCTAAAGTTTTTTTTCTTGCCAACTAATGAGTTTATGGACATTGAATAGCTTTCTTGAGGTAAATGTGACATTGTGTAGCCATTGTAAGCTGTTTCATTGAAGTCTTTCACCGGGTAAAGCACTGATGGAGCGATTACATGAAGTAGGATTAAGTTGTAATGTCTTTCAACATACCTTCTGGTGTTTGTTCACCCATGTTTATTCCGTGCAGTAACTAGTAAAGTGAGGATGAGATGATCGGTTCATGTGCTCTTGATCCGTGCTGCCACTAAACCTGAGGCGGCTACAGTGATCTCTCACTCCATATAAAAGAGCTCAAGAATGACATCGAATTTTTAAAATGAAAGCGACAGAATTTTGCGATTACTGGATGGCAGGCATGCCATATAATATTTAGTGAAGTTTTGTTCAGGCAGCGCATCAACAGAAAACAACAGACTAAAAGATTTTAGATTAAAAAAAACCTATCATTACCAAATAAAATCGAGAAATGAATATTGTCAATCCAGAGCTCTTGTCCACACGAAATAAACGCTGAACACCGTCAAAATGTGCTATAGATGAAGCACCAATTAAACTAAAAAAAGCATTTTGGCCCGAAGCCAAAAATAGCTGTTTTGCCTGAAAATGTTTGGTGCATCCATACTGATAATCCCACTAGATTGTCTCGAAGCCATCACGCCTAATTATTGATGCAGGTATAATTAGCATCGACATACACCGAATACGAGATTATTCAGTAACAGCTGTTCTGCAACTGCAGATACGCGTGAACTTGCTAATGAGTAACTTTTTTTAAACTATGAAAATAAATCAGAATAATTTTACCTTCTTAACATGTTTAACACAAGGTGTGGATGAGTTTTGTATCACCTGTGGCACAATATCAGGTCTCAAAAATAAAAAAAGGCCTAATGTGAGAGAGTTTCAGACCACAGGATAGACCAGTGCAGCAGCGCTAGAACATCATTCTCTCTAGATGAACGGGGCATGTTGAAATGACCATGTGTGGGGCGGGTGTGGGTTGAGAGTGAGCTTGAAGGACTCACCTACAAAGGAACGGGAAATGGAAGTGTGTCCGTTGCGGATAGGCGGGGGAGGGGGCGGGGGTCCGGCTGGTGTGCGGGAGGGGGGAGGAGGGGGCTTGCCTCGGCTCGGGACGTCCGAGGTGCTACCGTGAGTCCGATACGGAGGCGGCGGTGGCGGCGGAGCATCCCGGCCATTCCGTGACGGCTGCGCAGGAACTGGAGGGGCTGATAAAGGGAGTAGAAAACGTAGATAATTATAATCACAATTAGAGGACTTTCTCACAGCAACTGTTTTCTCAGACTCTAGACCTCACCTGCTCCTCGTCCCGGGGGCTCTCGTGCTGGAGGAGGGGGTCTGGCGGCCTGTGGGCTGGGTGACGGTGGCGGAGGAGGCGCGTGCCCACGTGTCGGTGTGTGTCCACCCGCTGACGGCTTCTTGCTGAGCGAGTTGTGTCTCTGGGGAAGTTCAGGGGCAGCTTCATTCACAGGACTGGAGGGGCCATTGGAAACCACGGACTGCTGACGGTACGGGGGTGGCGGCGGGGCCAGGGAGGAAGAGGAGGAGGAAGAAGATGAGCGGTTGCTCACGGGTGACGGAGGAGGCTTCACTGGTGGAAGTGGTGCGTTTTCACGCACCGGTGCTGGAGAGGGTCCTCGTTGACCCGGAGTCGGCGGAAGTGGCTTTTCTCGATTGTACGAGGTGGCCTTCTGCTGTGGGGCAGGAGGAGCGTTTCCACGCCGAGACATTGGGGGTGGCGGAGGTGGGGCAGAAGAGCTGTGCTTCATGCCTGTAGAGGGGCTGCTGCCTCCACCAGGGGAATGAGAAAGATCGGGCAGGGACGGTCTCTGGGAACGGCCAGATTCTGTAGGAGAGGCCTGTTGAGAGGAACTGTCGGGGTCATCGTGACTGCCGGGTGGCCGTGGGGCAGCAGAACGAGTGCTAGGAGGGTGTAACACAGACCTGACAGCAGAACCATCTGCAACACAGCACAACCGACTCAAGTAGGGCACTTCACAACGTCTTAAAATCTGAATTGTAGGTAGGGCTGGAGCGACGCATTGACGTAATCGATTACGCACTGGTTATGTTCATCCCTAATCCCCTGTCATGTTTCATACTAAACAAAACTCTACAGCAGATGCTAATGGCTAGTATGGCAGCGCCGCTTCACAGGGTTGCATTCATACACGAGTGTGACAACCCCATTCTATACAGCAGTGTTTCCCAACCCTGTTCCTGGCGGCACACCAACACTGCGTGTTTTCTTTGTCTCCCTAATCAAACACACCCGATTCAACCCATCAGCTCATTAACCCACCTGATTATGAGCTGATGGGTTGAGTCAGGTGTGTTTGATAAGGGAGACAAAGAATACACCCAGTGTTGGGTGTCCTATACAGCAGTGTTTCCCAACCCTGTTCCTCGCGGCACACCAACACTGCGTGTTTTCTTTGTCTCCCTTATCAAACACACCTGACTCAACCCATCAGCTCATAATCAGGTGGGTTAATGAGCTAATGGGTTGAATCGGGTGTGTTTGATTAGGGAGACAAAGAAAACACGCAGTGTTGGTGTGCCGCGAGGAACAGGGTTGGGAAACACTGCTATACAGGACTGAATGAACAGACAAGGGGCCTATACCACGAAGCCGGTTTAGGTGGCTAGTCAGCTATGTTTCAGTTTAGTTTGTGCCAACCCTGGGTTTTAGGTTCCATGAAAGTGGTTTGGCTTTTAGCATTGTTCATCTGCCATAGTAACTTACACACCATGGCTAACCTGGTCTGGGGCAGGTTAAGGCAGGCATACACTGCGATTTTCGTCCGATTTCGAGCCGAATTCTGACTCGTGCGACTCTTTTTCGTGTCGGACCGATTTTCAGCTTTGTCGTGCGTCGTTTGTCGTGCAGTGTACAGGGAGAAACGAGAGGCGATTAACCTCTCACGATCGACAATCGGATGGTCGGATGAATTTCTGGCATGTCAGAAATTTTGGTCGCTCCTCGTCAGTGATGTTTTCGTCAGTGATGACGATAACAAAATGATTTCATTAACCGTTTTTTTATGACGATAACGCGACGATGACTAGCTAAAAATAGCTCTGAGGTGACTAAAACATGACGAGACGTTTTCGAGTTTTCGTTGACGAGACGGAACGAAAATGATTATAAGTCTGACGTTCATAATACATGTAATTTATGCCTGTTTTGCGTGAAATCGGTCTGTATGGAGCTAAAAATAAGTATCAGCAATGCTGCCGTTTCCTATCGCGTGCGCCCAGCACCGGCCGCCGCGCGCGCACCAGATTCCACACAACAACAACAACACAGGGTTTAATGGTAGTTTTTGTACCAAGTCAAGTCAATAGAGTCGGACAAAAACTAGGATAAAACCTGTTGGAAAGCATATTTTCCAGCGATGTTTCTGTGAGCATATCAGTGAACATCCCTGACCACTCGGTGAGTTCGACGTCTTTGTAAACGAATGTTTAATGCGTTTTATGAATGATTGTGTGGGTGCTAACACACAAACCTAAAATTCTCGGGACAACAGCATTTGTTCCACATTTCAATCTTAACCGTTCTATTTAATCAGAAACGATCTTAAAACAGGGCTTTAAGTGTAAAATACCGAACTAACCAAGACCAAATACAGTGTTTATTCAGGGATTGTCTTATGTTCAACACACTCCAAGTGTCATGTTTGTTTCATACTTTATATTCAAGTATGCATTCTTTGTTCAATGCACCTCAGAATTAGATATTTATTTTATTATTTTGTTTCAGAATGTTTGCAACTTTGCACAAGTTAAAGATAGACTGGGTTGTATACATAATGTTTGTGTTTACAAATAATATGCATCTTATTGTTGCATACTACGTTGTTCATTGCACTTTAGCAATTTCTCAAATAAAGCCACAATTGCCAAAGTAAGAATGTTTTTATTCTTGGCTTTTTTTGGAGTAAAACAGTGATTCCACTGTTACCACTTTATCTGTGTACAATTTTCTAGTAGCTCAATGTTTTTGCTGTTTAAACTTTAAACCATTCCTTTATTCCTTTATTACTGTGATAACTTTTTAAACTAAATTAATTTGTGAAAGACTACTTTTTATTACTAAAATTGATTAAACTTGACTAAAACCTTTTGGTGTTTTCGTCGACTAAAACTCGACTAAAACCTTTTGTGTTTTCGTCGACTAAAACTTGACTAAAACTATTAAGTTTATAAATGACTAAAATGTGACTAAAACTTAAAAGCATTTTCGTTCAAAAGACTAAGACTAAGACTAAAAGGGCTGCCAAAAACAACACTGCTCCTCGTGACTATATCACAGTTGTAGCAAAGCTACGAACCGATTGCCCTAAACTTAGTGTTTTTTCCCTCACTGCACCTGTGTGAAAACAGAAGTTTAACCATTTCATCTGAAGCAAAAATAAAATTAAAATAAAAACGAAAAGAGGGAGATCTTTAAGTTCTGAAGTTCAAACTAGCTACAAATTACTGTTGCTTACCTCCAGTTCGTGTTGCAAAATGGATAATATTACCCACCGTCTTCCAAGCCACCTGATATGCAACACCTCTTTTATTATTTTATCAAACAATGTTTTTGAAATAAACCTGTTTTTAATTTTCATTGACGATTAATTATGGCAATGTTCGGACATATTATAGACTGTTAATAGTTATTTTATATGCCTATAATTCATTGTAATCGACCTAAATGTTTTAGACAATTTTTAATGAGGAGTAAGATTTTGTAATATTTTATTATCCTCACAGCACGTTGGTTATTATGTGCTGTGAAAATATTGCGTGGTTAATTAATTATAATAGCGGATCAATTTAATAATAAAATTAGGCTATAGGCCTCCCCTAATAATGATAATACAATAATAATAATTAAATGCATGAATTGAAAATACTAAATCATCTTGATACTGATAGCAGATGCTTGTTTTGACAATACCTCTGGATACATACACGTAAATAGGCGCAATCCAGGGGGTTATCGCAGATATTACACGTATAGTGTGAGCAGTGAAGTCGCAGCTCGACGATCAGACCGTACAGTGTGAGCACATAAATCCTGAACTTTGGCTTTGCATCGCATGCTATTCACTCGTTGAGTGTGAGTAGGTACCTTGCTGAAATCACAGACATCGCATAGTGTATGCCCGCCTTTATGTTCCAGGTAAGATGTTGCAAACCGAACTTGGACCAATCAGCTGTGAGCAAAGTGACACATGTATGACGTGATAAAGTCACTCCACAGCAAATGATTTTAAAAGACAAAATCATGGCTTTTAGTAAATAAATTTGCATGATCTAGAGATTATTTCTGTAATTATTACACCCTAAAACGATCTCACATGTACAGTTTCAGTTCATCAATTATTATTATGCAGATTTTAAATGAATATGTATATAAAGGTAATATAAATACGCTTTAGAATCAATAAATGAAGCTATAAAATGACTACATGTGAGCTTAAATCAATTTTTGAAAATCCTTAAATCAAGTTCAATTCTCTCTATACCTATATCAACTGTATAAACTAACTTCACAACTTTTACTTGCACTGATAAACAGTAGCAAGACTTTCTTTTAGTTGTCCTCTTTCACAAACAGCTACTTTCTTCTTGCTGTGTAAATTTGTTTAAATTCTTAGTACTTTTATTTAATAAGTGAATTGCGCTAGTTCTCTCGTGAGAAAATAATTTCAATGAGTTTTGAATGAGTATCACTCTTTCTCAGCATGTGATTGGCTGTTCACTACTGGTAGTCACACCTAAACTGAAACTAAAGCCTGAGTTGACAGAGAAAGTTGATGATCAGCATCATGGTACCAACAAAGCCTGGTTGGATTGGTTTGGTTTTGTCAACTCGAAACTAATCCTGCAACCCTGAGTTTGTTCAACTACCATCATGGTACAGGGCCCAGGTGTCTGCCAAGTCATATAATGTGAGAGCCACAGTAGGGCCATAAAGCTTTAAACTTGACCATGGCATGATCTTATGCTGATCATGCACTCAAAAAGATCTGTTTGATTATTCCATCTAGATACTCAAAATTGATTGGGTGAAAGTATGTTTTAAATAGCTAATTATAAGTGTGAGTTAATCGACGTTTAAACTATTGCGCTGCTGTATTGTAACGCACACACGTAAATAAAGTACCTTGCGCATTACGTGCAGATCACGCGCATATATATACATTCAGTAATGCAGAAATGTATCATCAACCCATGATATGTTCTGAGAGTTATCAATAAAATAGCTTAGAAACTGAAACAGAAAAGTCTTGCATATATTTCATTGAAACTAAAACCCACATCGCCATGCTATGTAGGAGCAATAGTCTTGAGGGCAACTCTGTGTCATAAACCATAAGCATTTAAAGTCTTTGTTGGTTGTTTAAAATATCTGATGGATGAATGGACTCGTTTATTTAATAGCACGCCATCAAATGTGATAAAACTTCCCAATGTTATTGACATAGCCATTTCTAATACTGTCCCTGACTGTGATTGTGAGCCCCGAAAATGTGCAGACTCGTATACCATACCGGCCAGAATTTTGTTTTGTGTGAAACTTGACAGGGGATTAGAGATGAACATAAACAGTGCATAATACACCGTTCCATCCCTAATGGTAAGCAAAGATCCTTCGAATTCTCCTTGTGTGCATATGGCTCACAGCAAAGGGTGTGAAAACCATTTCAATTTCTGGGTGAGCTATTCCTTTAAATAGAGTTAGAACAAACAACACACCTCCTACAGGTCGCAATTTTGGGACGCCACCCTGAAACAGCCCTCCCACTGGCTGGACCGGTGCAGAAGACCCACCAGCGCTGGACACGCTTCCGCTGCCTCCTTTTGGCTCTGAAAAAACACAAAACAATTCAATGATGTACAGTACCACATTGAAAGCTTACACTACAGTTCATCTTACCAAACCCAAACACAGTAGTTCACCCACAAATGGGAACATCTTGAGTATTTAACCCTTTTAAATTTGGATGAACTATACATTTAGGTACATAAATACATTGACTGTTGAAGTTTAATGTGTGCATAAACAAAATCTTGACCATCAATATGTTGAGCTCTCAAGGGTCAAGCTGTTTTTCCACTTACTCTCGATCATCGGTGCACTCCTGTCGTTGACAACGCCAACCTTCTTCAACTTGGACCCTTTGCAGATTTCAGAAAGCAATGCCCCTCGTCCCTTTGCTTCATCTCGGTTCAGCTTAGGAGGGGTTGTGTTCGCCTGTGGAAAAAGTGTATTTCTTTTTCGTCCAGGTATTCCAAGGGGTTCACAGAGGCTGGTGAAATTTGCGATGTGCTCGCTGTGATTATTTTTGGCATATTGATTTTGCAGTCCTCAGTAAAGTTACCAGGCATCTAGAGAGAGTACTTACCTGGCTAAGGGTGGGGGGAGGAGGGGGTCCACCTGGGGGTGGAGGGGGAGGAATGGGCATCTTGAAAATGTGTCCGGTGTTTGCAGCTGAGTGTGTGTGACACTTAAAACTTCATGAAGACTGTTACCTAAAGAAACAAAACAAGTAATGTGTGTTTGTAAAAACGCACAGACACTATTTAAAATCCACATATGCCTGCTGAATAACAGTATAAACGATATTGAAAATAAAACTGACGCCAAACCTTTGAACAATAGAATATATGTAACACAATGCAATGCAACATCAAACCTGTCGTGTTTTCGCTACACTTTTGCATAATGAATATTCTAGGTACTTTTTTAAAAAAAAAAATATTTACGTTGATATGTGATTCGTAAGCATGTTCCCATTCATAAGTGATGAAAAGCGGTGCATACTAAGGGCAGAAAATGTCTAAGCTGAGATGTCCATATCTGACAGCTGATGACTTCACCTTATCAGTATTTCTGATGATGCTAGTCTGTTGTTTTAGAACAAAATAACATAAAACCCGTATGAACTACACTTATTATTAATGCAAAATATACATTTATATAGGATCTCCGTAATTCTCATGCGCACGATGGCAAGAATAAAATTATCAGTTTATTGTAAAATAAATGAGTGAAGCCATTGTAACAGTGATGAAGCTTGATTGTCTATGTAAACAACACGGCCTGCAGTCTACGCTACTATACTTGTATACTATCTTCAGTATAATTAGTAAACTATCGGTCAAATGACGGTCGTCAAATGATGTATAAATGCTTGTCTCGTTCTTTATTTACATTTCTACTTGATTGTAACTTAGCTCGATTTTAGCCATAGCTTAGCTCGGCCTCGCGCTTGGCAGGTGCGTCCGTCACTTCAAGACGTTTCCAACGGTGCGTGAAAAAAATGTTCCGTTAACGTTAGTTTGAAACTGATTTAATGTGTTTATGTGATGAAGTAATGCAATGTTTGTGCCTACTTTTTTTTCAGCAATGTCCGATGATTTCGCAAACCGGGATCCCATCATACATGATCTCGCGCGTCAATCGCCTTGATTTGCTCCCCCGTTTGTACCGGAAATTACGTCACAGACTGTATGTATTCATTTGATGCTGTTCATTGATTTTAAAAGCGGCTATTTTTATTAAAAGAACGAACTTAAGGCAGAACATTTGACGTACTTGTTATGTTTTTCTGTTATTGTTTCTATTGAACCCTGTTTTTTTTGCCAAATTGTTTTATCATTCCTCGCAAAAATTGATTTTAAATTTATCTTAAAGCATTATTACTTATTTGTTGTGAGCCATTCCACCGAAAGGGTGACATTTCTGTCCCTAGGACAATATGATTATATGTAAAACATTGCATGAAAATGAACTCTAAAATACATTTTATTATTAGGCAAAATGCACATTAAGCTAACTACACATTTAATTTAAATTAATTCAATTAAAAACATTAATAAAAACGACACAAAACACAAAAAATAGCATGTTCTGCATGTCCCAACTATCTATCTCTAAACTTTACCTTGAAATATTGTGATTAAAATCCTTCAGAAATCTTTCTTGCATTGTTGTGTGACATATCCAAACTGCTTTAAAATAAATAAAAAATAAATTAAAAAATATATATATTTGACAGTAAGTTGCATCTGGATCATCAAGGCTATTTTCATTTTTGTATATTTGATGTAATTGTAACTATGAATAAGAAGGTCAATCTCAACATACAGTCCTGTTACCTAAACTTTTTCTTAGATTTTATTTTTTTATTTTTTAAATATTAGGCTAACTTTTGGCAAGGCACTAGAAATGGCTCAGTGTCCTCTCGCTATTAGCATCAGTGCTATGTGGGCATATATTTGATAACGTTTTGCTTAAAAACTCAATCCTCTAAAAAAAGCAAAAGAAAAAAAAAGCTTAAGGCTTCGGTCGACTTTAAAATGTAAAAAGTCCTCTTGTTTTCAGAATATGGTAATTTTGTTGGGTAAATATCTCATTCACACATGGAAGAAATGTAAAACCTTTATTTATGATTTTGTAAGAATTTTTTAAATACTTAAAAAAATATTGGAAATAAGGACAACTTATTAGGTTAAGTTTGTGTGTGTGTTATGTCTGTTATTATGATGTTTTCCTTCGTTTATTAAAATAATCTCAATAGAACCAATAAAGGAAGATTCTCGTATAGCTGCTCATTGGAATTTAATTCAGGAAATATGATAATGAATGATAAACAAAAAATAACTAAAATCCCGGGAATGTCAGTGCCCTAAACTGACACGTGGTGGTGCTATAAGAAATGATAAATACTATTACTGTCTGTCATATGTCCATTGACTGCACAGTTATAATTTGGATGGCAAATATCAAAACATATCAAAATACTACTGACCGAAAAAGAAAATGTATAGGCCTAATGTACTAATATGTTTCACAGCTGGTGTACTGAAATAGGGTTGGAGCTTTTTTGGGGTAATTAGCTGGGGTAATTTTTTTTTTACTGACTTTGAGATATTTATGACTTTAATGAATGGAAATCTGATAAAGAGAGGGCATAATGTCCCTCACTCTCATCCTCAACAACAATCATGATCGGCCTCTGGCCAAATGCGCTTAACACGTGATCACCCAGAGTCGTCATTCAAATTATTACGACACAAGAACATTTAATCGTCACTACTAAAATTCACAAATATAGTTGCTTTACCTTAAATAAAAGTCAATAAGCGGAGACAGTTAATATAATTCAGTTTATTTATTTGAAAACAAAAAATACTGTCAAACTAAAAATGTTCAGTAAAAACGCATATCCACTGTAACTTCCTGTTGACATTTCCGTGCATGTTTTTTTCTTGCAGATGGGAATGTTGAAATGTTTTACTCTATGATGACAGCATCATCAGGAGTGCAGTTGCCACTGAATATGCTCAATAATTCTGTTAGATGTTGGTAAAAAGTGAGCATAACAGGGGCAACTGAATCAGAATAGTCTTTATCAATATTAACTACTTTTGGCACAGACATGTTCCTTAAAGCAACAGATGGCAGGCAGATTTGTAGTTATGAAGCAAAATTCCCCACTACAGTTAGAGTAATGAACGATGCTTGACAATTACTGCAATTTCATCAATCAGCAATCACACTTCACACAGATTGTAATGCCTTTCAAATATATGCAAATGTGCAAGATCCCTTGCATATGGCAATCATAATCAGTCTTATGATTACATACTTCAGCATGTCATTCAAAACAAGATGTGCATTATGTACAATGATGTAAAACAATATAGTATTTGTATAAAAAATATTTAAAGTCTAAGGGATGTTATATAAAGAGAGCGAATATTCTAGAGTAAACAAAGTCAGGATAATGCAGTCAACGAGGTCATCAAGACCAACCGACCAATCAGAATAAGGTGTTTCAGAGAGCTGTGTAATAATCATTTTGAATTGAAAGACTGGAACGAATAACTATATGGGGCCTTAAAATTGTAAAGTGGGATTAACTATGAAAACTATGAACTATAATGTACGTTGCTAATCATTCTTTTGTAAAACAGTATAATGAACAGCATTATACAATAACTTCAGAGCATAATCAAAATAACAAAGCTATTGATTGTTGTACAAGAAAAACAACTAAATCTCAATGATGACATCATGCCCCATTAAAAAATAAAATTACATTAATAGCAATGAAAGAAAAACAAAACATCACTTTAGAGTCACTATGTATTTGAATTCTTTTAAAAAAAAAAAACTGGGCATACATTGTAACATTATAGCTTATTGAATTACTTCTAAATGTATGAATCCTATCACTATTTTTTGATTTACAATGTTTTTTTTTTTGTCTCATATTAAAAAAGAAAACCCAACTAATTTACAGAAAATAAAGGAAGAAAAAACATGTAGCCATATATATTTGGACACTCGTATGTGCTTATTGAGAATTTAATTTGAAAACCATTGACATTCATATCGTTAATTTTCTTTAGTTCTAGTTATTGGTGTCCAAATATGTTAGCCATATACAGGGTAACTGTGAATAATGATTCATCCATAAATGCCTCCTGAAATTCATATGATCTTTACATGAAATCATACACCGCAAGCATTTCCTTACAACTGAATATCAGTTTGTCTCTTAAACAATGCAAAAGTTTGTATGAAGACTGCAAGAAAATGACGAAAACCTGCCTTTGACCTGTTAGAAGATACAACATATCAATGCTTCTCATGTCAACAGATGATGAAAATACAAACAGGTTTCTGTTTTTCCACTGTATGTTTTGTTGCTTTTGTTTTTTTCCTACTCAGTAGCAATGCCTCGGCATCACAAATACACAGAACGCAAAGGAAAACGGACCCTCGTGTGGCTGAGCCGCTAGCTAGCTATGCTACATTTCTAGGACGGAGTTGAGTGGAGATCTTTGGACAAACAATATAAAGTACAAAATGTACGTGTTATGATCACATGCTTATCGCGTCACCACACTTTTAGGCTTCGTCACTCTGTTAGTAGCACAAGATAACAAGATGAGTTAGGCAGTGCTTAGAGTTCACATCACAAACAGACCGGTGGTGAACTAAAGCAAGTCGTGTGTTTTTGTTCTTCTTTCGTCGAGCACTGCACTGTTCAGGCCCTCCCCGGTCCACGTCTTTTGCAGGGAACAAAGCATTTTGTAGTCTCCACCTTCGCCCACTTCATTTGACCTGAAGACTGACAGGAACATCATTGTTGTGATTTATGTTATTCAGGAATCACAAGGTAAACGATGGCTCAAAATCTTAAGACAGAGATAATGTCGAGTAAATCCAGACGTGTGTGAGCTAACCTGCTGGCAGTGTTGTTAAAGAGGATTTGGGTACACCTGTCGAGGGTCATAGGTCATTTCTGGCATGTATTGCTCATGTAGCTCGGCGTCCAGTGGGAGGCCATCCATGGGTAAATCAGAGTAGCCATATGGAGGGTACACTGCATCCAGATCTGAGAGAGAGAGAGAGAGAGAGAGAGAGAGAGAGAGATTCAAGTTATAGTCATCATCTGCAAACACAATATTTCAGTTGTTTTTCTTTGTCATTAATATATATTTTTAATTATTTACATTAAAATAATACAAAAATATAAAAAAATTTAAATTCATTGAACTGGAAAAAGTGAGTTAATACAATGAAGGGGATTAATTTAACCATCAGAAACTCAAAATTATATGTTATCTGAACTAAATAAATGATTTAAGTTGATTTGACAAAAGAAAAAATGTTGTGATTACTACACTGTAAAAAAAAATATTGTTGGTTTAACTTAAAAAAGTAAGTAACCTGGGTTGCCTTAAAATTTTAAGTTGATTGAACTGGAAAAAGTGAGTTAATACAATAAAGTAGATTAATTTAACCATCAGAAACTCAAAATAATAAGTTATCTCAACTAAATAAATTATTATAAAGTTGATTTGACAAAAGAAAATATGTTGTGATAACAAATCTTGAAAATATTTTACAGTGTAGAATTTATTTATTTAAAATAATTATATATATATGTGCATGTCATGTGCAAACAGAAACACACAACATATTTCAATAGTTTTAATAAATGTATTAATAATACTAATGACAATATTCAATTATCTCATAATATATTTAATTAGTAGAAAAAGCTACAATTACTAATTAATGTAACATGTTAATTGATAAAATCATTTTTAAAAAACAATAAATAAAAAAAGATCAGATTTAATAGTGCAATGTAATATTTAAGTATTCAAATTATAATATAATTAATATTTTTTGTAAAAGAATAATTCCAATAAAAATATTAAAATATTATTAAAAAGATAAAAACCATTTACTTTTACTATTAACAAAAAATACTTTAACTTACTTACTTTAACTTACTATTAACAAAAAACATACATTTTATGAAAAGGTACTGTTACACTAATGTTGACATGCTTTTGCTGTTGTTATAACTTTTGTATTTACATGTACTATAATTTATAGACTTTTTTGTCATTCAGTGAAATAGCACCTTCATTATTCATCCTGAAATGATTATTATTTCAACAGAATCATTCTTACATTTTAATTCTGAATTAGTTGATAGTCATGACATTTCTTCAGTACTTACAAATATAATAATTTAGAAGAATTATGTTTTGTCATGGTGTTTTTAGTTAGTTTACAAAATATGGGACGTGCTTCAGACTTTATGGCTGAAAAGCATCAGCGTGTAAAATATCCACATAAACGGATCAAACAGGTTGGCTTGTTTTTAATAGGTTTTTGTATATTTACAGGTTCTCCAGTCTTATACTACAGTCATCTGAGCGAAAAGCACGTCGCATACGCCGGACCGCCGCTGACTTAATGTTCCCCAACAGAGGAAAACAGCATTCTGTCACTTTGCGGAACGGACTGACAGCGACGCAAATTCAGTGACTGTCTCTCTTTATCTTTTCGTCTTTGACCCCTCTCTCACACGCAAACGCACGCCATTACTCATTTGTCATGTGACATTTTATTTCCATGCTTTTCGCTCTAATGCTGCGAGATGTGCTGGATAAATAGGCAATTTGCGGCGGTGTTGCGTACTAAAGCAGACGGATAGTGAGTGAATGCGAACGTGCTCTCAACTTACCATCTGGTATGTATCCAGGGTCGAGTGGCATGGCAGCATGCGCCTGAAAGAACAAGAACGCAAACATATTCATTAAAAGCTTCTTTCATAAAGAAAAGAAATATGGTAAATACCACTGAAATATTAAAACATTATACTTGAGCAGCAAATCAACCTATTAGAAAGATTTCTGAAGGATCATGCGACACTGAAAGACATTGAAAATTTAGTTATTTTAAATGGTAAAAATGTTTCATAATATTACTCATGAAAATTGAGTTATTTTAAATGGTAAAAATGTTTCATAATATTACTCTTTTATACTGTATTTTTGATCAAATAAATGGAGCCTTGGTGAGCATAAGAGCATAACATTTGAAAAAAATAAAAACTATCCTGTGTTTGCTTAAGTGGCTTTCCTAAAAGCTTTTTTTATCTTTTATTTATTGTTTTTATTAGAGTAAAGGGATAATTCATGCTATAAATATCTCCTTTTGTGTTCCATGGGAGAAAGAAAGTCACACGTTTAAAAATGCATGAGTAAATAATGACAGAATTGACATTTTAATGCACTTTTCCTGTAGTATGCAGTGGCCCAAAAAGTATTTAAATGTCATTGCATTAGATACAAAATATCAAACCAAGTGGCATCTACATAACCAACACCAACATAATAGCCTTATAATAATAAAAATAATTGAAACATTGAATTACTGGAAACTAATGTACACTCATTCCTGGGCTGCATTAACCATTCAGGTTTGCATTCATTTTCAATAATTCAAAGGTTACGCCATATTAATATGATTATTTCGTTATGATTGCTAAAAATTGACATGGTATACATAATCGAAATGATCTCATAAATAATAATGTCCAGTAATCTGAGAGTGTGTCACATATATTCACCATTTCCCAGGCTGCAGGGTCATGCTTGAAGAGGGAGTGTGTGAGCTCCACCGACACACGCTTCCTGTAGTCTGAACTCTTGTCCTCAGAGATGCGGAAGAGAACGGCCGCAGCATAGGTGGCTGAGGAAGAGACAATGATGAGAGATGTGATCATCATTTAGTATTATTACCATACTTTCTACCAGTGCAGCATAATCCAAATACTGTCGAAAGACTGGTGAAAAAATTAAATAACGCATTAAAAGCAGGGTAGGTGATTTGTTCCATCATTTTTGTTATGCTGGTTGAAAGTCTCTTCACATCCTGATAGGAATCACTAAGTGGTCTAAATGTATTTATATGTATATATCTTTTCTGTGGAAGGCGTAGGTCCATAAAATCTTTGTCCAATCACTGAATCTAATGATACGATGTCCAACCTGCCTGTCAATGTACTGTATGTATATCCATACTCACGGAGCAGGGAGCGGGAAAATGGAAATAGAGTTATGCTATAGAGTTTATGCTATAGACCATTTCACAAGATGTAAACAACACTGGTCCAGAAGCACTTCCTGTTTCAGTTTTTCAACACTACATAAAAGCTGGGATAAAATACAACCAACAGAACATTTAACACTGAATCAAAAAGTTAAACAAACATCTTTAAGATGTTTTCTTTACATGTGAAATAAAGAAAACAGTTACAAACTGAAACAGGAAGTGTTTCTGGACCAGTGTTGTTTACATCTTGTGAAATGGTCTATAGAGGGAATGCATTGACGTCACTTTCCCGCCAGAACAATCCCCCTCGTTTGCAATTTCCCTTATATTTAATATATGTCCCACTGGGACATGAGGAAGGTTTGCACAATATCAAATGTGGTAATGTTGTGTTTGTACAGACTATGATCCGTCCAATGACATATGGCTCATTTTATTAAAGCTTCTCTCGATGGGCGTCACTCACCAATCCCCTCATTGGGAGAGTGCAGGAGCTCCATAAGAGGTGCAGATGCTCCTTCTGCATCAATCATCTCAGCAGACTGCTTATCCAGAGCGAGTTCACACAAAACACCGGCGGACACGCGCTTTATGTTCTCCACGTATGAGTACAGAAGCTAACAGGAAAGAGGAAGTCAAAGGATGAGAGGGGTTTCACTGTTGTCTTGTCACATTTTCTACACACTAGATTTGCAATGATGTTCGCTTCAATGGTCATGACGTTTTATATAACCATATGTCCATTTGTGACATTTTAGTTTTGTTACTTAGCAAAAAATTTTGTTTATTTTGTTCCCCCTGTGGTGAAAATCAGGTTTTTAATGTTGTTTATATAGTACGCATGTTTATGTGGTGTTTTTAATATGATTTAAGACGAACCATGTGCAAAGTCATAAGTCACCATTGTTGTGTATTTTCTCCTTAAAAATGCAGTGAACCAAAAACCGTCTCAAAAACGCGGTTTGAAATCCCTGGTGTTTCTGATGTCACAAACTACCTTGTAACCAATCACATTTGGCAAAAAACTTTTCCTGATAATTTACTCGCCCCCATGTCATCCAAGATGTCCATGTCTTTCTTTCTTCAGTCGAAAAGAAATTAAGGTTTTTGATGAAAACATTCCAGCATTTTTCTCCATATAATGGACTTCATTGGGAACCAAGTTTCAGTGCAAACTGCAAACTGTTCAAAGGGCTTTAAATGATTCAGAGAGGCTTCAGACGATGAATAAGGGTCTTATCAAGCGAAATGATCGCTCATTTAATAAATAAATAACAAAGTTTAAGTTTTATGAGCACAAATGCTCGCCTTCTGTGACGCACGTTTGTGACTCTCCTGTTCGAACTCGTTCATCAAAATGAACGAAACTTTTTCCAAGTCATTTGGTTCATTCATTTAAAGGAGTAGTTCACTTTTAAAAAAACTTTTGCTGATAATTTACTCACCCCCATGTCATCCAAGAAGATATCCATGTCTTTCTTTCTTCAGTCGAAAAGAAATTAAGGTTTTTGATGAAAACATTCCAGGATTTTCTCCATATAATGGACTTCATTGGGAACCAAATGAGATTGGGGTCCAAATGACCCCATTGGGGTCCAAATGAGAGTTTAAGTGCATAGGACCCTTCGAGTCATGACTCGAAAAAAATGTGTTCATTTTGATGAACGAGTTCGAAGAGGAGAGTCACGAACGCGCATCACAGAACAGAGCAAGGCGAACATTTGAACTTTTTAATTTATTTTTTAAATGACCGATCATTTCGCTAGATAAGATTCTTATTCACCGTCTGGTGTCGTTTAAAGCACTTTGAAGCTGCACTGAAACTCTCATTTGGACCTTGAACCATTTGGTTCCCATTGAAGTCCATTATATGGAGAAAATCCTGGAATGTTTTCATCAAAAACCTTAATTTCTTTTTGACTGAAGAAAGAATGACATGGATATCTTGGATGACAAGGGGGTGAGTAAATTATCAGCAAACGTTTTTTTTTAAAGTGAACTCCTCCTTTAAGTGATAAAATTATTGACTACAGGGGGACTTTAAAAACCTACTGTTTATCACTATTACATAATATAAATTAAGTTTAATTAGTTGTATTTAAGTGAATATATTCAACTTTATTACTGTGACCCAATTAAAATTATTCATCTTTTTGGCTGATTCTAATTAAATCATAAATAATATGATCTAATAGTTATGCATTAAGGGTATTTCGTTTATTTAAAGATGTTTTAAAGAGAACTGGAGAACTTGACTCTAGTTTAAACGACAGCTTCCATAAACTGGTAGTGTAATATAAACATGGACAAATGCACTAAAACAAACAGCAGCCAGACACCCTGCAGCCATCATCGCGCCACAACACCCACACATCACAACACACACAGATGAACCAGATTCACTGCCAGGAATGCCATAAGTTGGTTCAGTACTTGCACAAACAGAGGAATGGTCTGCATGCTGGCGATTTCCCCTCGGTTGATCGGATCTCTGGCCAGTATATGCAAAGCGCCTGTGCAGCCTTCCACAATCTCCTCCATTCGCACGCCATCCTGTGAAAAATAGAGTGAAAGTGAGAAGAAAACATTAACTCTAACACCAAAGGGACCTGGTCTATGCCAAACACTGTGGCCTTGATGCTAATTGGATTGTATTTTAACCTCCCTTTGGAGGCTTCAGCCTATATGCGAGGGTGAATAAAGAGGCCAGGACTAGGACATGTGGAAAATCCATGCACAGGTAGAAAAAACCTCAAAAGCACCTGATAGGTCTGCTGGGCCCCTGAGCCGTGTCTTTGAGTTTCCTGATGAGCTTTCAAAAGCAGGTTGACCAGTCGGGGGATTGTCCCAGAGTCCCTCAGAGGCGCCTGATTGGCTGGACACAGGGCCAAGTTGCGAATCAAGCCCACTGTGGCCTATAGTGTGAAAAATGCACAGCATATTAACTACCGTTCATAACATTCTTGGCAACTTCTTTATTAAATTATTTTCTCGATGTTTTCTTCAGCTCAGAAATGGATTAATGCGATGGTTTCCAAAAAATTCTTAAAGGGATAGTTCACTTTAAAATTAAGTTTTGGTGTGTTTTAGCTTACCTCAAGGGCATCCAAGATGTAGGTGTCCACAGTAGTTTCAATTTTGATATTTTTAGGTCAAACTGCTCTTGTGTGTCAGTTATATATTGGAGGTCTATGGTCACCACCTCAAAGAGCATGCACAGATAAGTCCAAATTAAACATGATTTAATGACTCGTAAATGTAAGTACACATTGATGGCCTAAGACACGAAACGAGCGGTTTGTGTGAGAAAACGAACAGTATTCATATCGTCTGAGCAGGTGCCGGAAAGCGTCGGAAGTGATCTCTCGCTTGTGTACGTCACTCATTGTTTACACAGAGATTTCGGAAGCGTTACCTTTCACTGTAAAGATATTTAGATATACAGGAAATTGCAATGGAAGACGATTTTGATATATATCAACAGACAATGTTGAATTTTTTATTTTATTTTTTTGCAACCACACGAGAGATCACTTCCAGCAATTTCCGGTGCTTGCGCAGACCGAAACGCCCGCGCCCTCAGATCACTTGGACGTGGTTGTGGTTACAAGAGGTAAAAACAATAGAAATACTGTTCGTTTTCTCACACAAACCGCTCGTTTCATGTCTTAGGCCATCAATGTGTACTTACATTTACGAGTCATTAAATCATGTTTAATTTGGACTTCTCTGTGCATGCTCTTTGAGGTGGTGACCATAGACTGCATTCTGTGACTGACAGACAAGAACGGTTTGACTTAAAAATATCAAAATTTAAACTACTGCGGAAACAAAGGCACTTACATCTTGGATGCCCTTGAGGTAAGCTAAAACATACCAAAAATTAATTTCAAAGTGAACTATCCCTTTACCCCTCAGACAGTCATAACATTTTCTGTTTTGAATTTCTAAAAATCACAGCTCCATCGGAATGTTACAAAACTTGGTGACTTTTATGGCATTATGTATGTGAACACACAAAAAAATTGAGGTCATTCTGAGGGAATCAATGGTCATAAAAAAAATTGTCACACTTGTGGTCTTTGGTCAAAAATGACCCCCAGAGGAAATGAATGGGAAATTGACAAAAACAAAAAACTTACAAATTTGTATTTATTTTATTTATTTATTTTTTTAAAAAAAAATTTTTTAATAAGAAATCGTTTTTGAGATTGTTTCAACTATATATTCAAATCCAAAAAAAAAAAAAGTTCATAAAAAGCTAGGGAATTCACATGCCTCTCCACAGAGAGCTGTTCATGCCATCTAGTGGTTACACCATGATTCTACGCTTTTTTCTCTATACTGTAAACAGATGGTGCTAATTTTCTTCAAAATATATTTTTTTTCTGAAGGCCTAGACTCCATATTAAACTAAAATACTGCATTAATAATTTTTTTTTAATTATATATATATATATTTCCATGGCAAAAATAGACCATAAATATTGCATAAATATTAATAAATTCAATCAAATTGTCTCAAAATACTAAATTGAAAAAAGAATAAATATTATAGAACAAAAATAAATTGCATAAGTTTTACTGGGATGGAGGCAATTTCATTTTTAGGTGTCCGGTCACTTCTGACCGGGCATGGCATGAATCTTACAGTGTTTTTAGATGTTTTTGCGCATCATTGAGAGCGGGGATTGTTTTGACAACGTTTTTTTATTTTAGAATTACTAAATAAATTATTGGGATCGCATAGCTCACATCATTTTTGTAAGGTTTTGTAAGAATTTGATGAGTTTATATTCAGGTACATGATTTTGATTGCAGTCTTTGGTTTCTTGGTAAAGCTGAAAAATCTGAGAAACAAGGGCAAAAAAGCAAGTGAACATCTCTCCAAATTCCAAAATGTTCTCTCCTATGAATCGTATATCTGTCTGTGAAAAACAACATTAAAAAGATGTTTCTTTCTCATAAGTTTAGTTAAACTCCCTAAAACACAACGAACCGTGACCCACTTCTATACCTCTACACCGTTACAAAAAGTCATAATCTAAATCTAGACACAACTGTAGTGAATTCCTCAATGTTCAGCTCCACTGTAAGTCCATTCCTCAAAGCTGTCATCATCTCAAATAAATGACTCACTCTTGTAAATCCCAAAGTGCTGACTGGCGAGTGAATCAATATGAGCAACTGTGCGATATGTTACTCGCAACAATGTTTTTTTAATTAAAAAATTAAGCTGAATACAAAGTTTAGGTTGAGATGCTTGATGTACGTGCATGTAAAACTGTTTATGGATGCATGGATGCACACGCGAGTCTTTGTAGGTGAAATCACCTGTATGTAGTTCAGTGGAAATGTCGTGCGTTTACATGAGGAGACATTTTGCTTCTGCCTAATCATCTGTGCACAAACAGCATTGCGTAAACGCTTAATTTCCTACGGCCTCCTTCACAACGCATCATTAGTCCGCAACGTTCCTCTGCTGATTAGAGAACGCCTGCTGATAGAGCGGATCTCTGCGGGGCGGGACGGCAAGACACGTCAAGAGCCAGAAACCGCTCCAAATGGAAGAGGAAGAAACACGATGTGATGCATTCCAGACATCGGGGATTCATGTGTGTTGCATTAGTGATCTGTCTTCCCCACCCTGCCTGGGTGCAACCGAAGCCATCAGCCAAAGTGTACAGAAGGTTTGCACATTTTGTTTTGTGAAATTGTCTGGCATTTTAAAATGAATATTTCTGACTCTCAATGAGTCACATAAATGATAAATTTGGTCCATACTACAAAACAGTTATGCTATAGCTATATTACTGGGAAGAATATTATTCATTCAGTTTCATATTCTTCTTTATAAATGTAACTTTTTATTAGGCCCGAGCACCGATGGTGAGACGACCCTATTGTTTCTGCTGTGTTTATTATTATTATTCTTCGCTTAAAAGAATCGCTTTTTAGAGGGCCTAAACATGCTCGAAAGCTCATGAAACATGAAAATTTACGCGTGACAGGGTGGGTTGGGCAAATTCTTTAAATTATTGCCCCGGCTCTAGGTCCCTCTTTAGTCCCTCTTTCTAACATGTTCTGTTTTTATTGTATACTGTATTTCTTATGTTTTTTTTAAACTATGTTTTACTGTAGCACTTTGAGATTTGGTGTCAAATGTAAAGTGCTTTACAAATAAAATGTATTATTATTATTATTAGGTTTCACATACAGGTATGAAATTTGGGACATACATGTAATGACCCAATACCTACAAAAAAGTCTCTTGGAGCATAGCCCTAAACACAACAGGAAGTCAGCTATTTTGAACTTCCCCCTAGATTCTGTGCATTTTTCGTAATTTCCTGATGTTGTGCTTTAATAAACTGTAAACAGTTTTGATCTGATCCTCTTCAAATTTGGTGAGTGTAATCTTAAGGCCTTTGCAACGTTAAATTGTGAAGATCTTGAGTTTTCGTCGAAGGGTGTGCCCTTGGCGGGCTGACAAATGTACACCCAATTTCAGCCTTTTGCTGATTTGTGCATGAATATGCCATATAGGTCAATATTGCTTGCAGTTCCGATGTTGCTAGGCCACCACAGACAGCCTGCAGTAACTCAGGCATACAATGTCCGATCTGCCCCAAACTTCACATGTTTGATAAGAGTACTGTCCTGAACACATGACCATGCTCATATTTGATTATAGCAATAGCACCACCTGCTGGCAGCAGGAAGTGTGGCAAATACAAATCCTTTGACATAGTCCTCCGATATTTATTATCATTACATACTGCCTATCATGCTCTGTTTTCCTAAAACCACCGGGTGGTGGCAGTACGGGTGCGAGGGCCCTTTTCATTGATGCTTGCAGCTTTAATAGAATAGTGGTATCATGTTGTTGCAAGATTACTGTTGATTACAGTGATTATAACGCAGTGACTGTAGTACAGAATATTTATTGCTTTATAATGCTCAAAAATGGAGTGCAAATACAAACTTGCTTCCAAAACAAAACGTTATTAGTATAAGTAAGTTTTAAAATTAAATAAATTAATTAATAGATAAAAAAAGCTGTCAAAATCGATTGATTGGGATTAATTGCATCTAACATAAAAGTTTGTTTATATAATATATGTGCATATATATATATTATATTATATTTATATATACTATATATGTTTCTCTGTGTGTGTATGTGTATATACTGTATATAAACAGTATTTTTCAGATTAGTCAGATCACTATAATGCAGTCTCTCGTGGTTCACTGAATTACTTAAAGGTGCATTCATTTAAAATGTTTAACAGGTTTGAAAAAATAAAATGAATAGTACTTATGATATGAAAAGTGTTTAAAATGATAGCATCAAATGGTACCATCAGTAGTCTAATAAATAAAAGTGGTTTGATTTTTACACAGGCCAGTTGAGATTACATTAGCAGCCCGATACTTCTCACTTCATCTTGTTAATCTTATTGGACACTTTCGTTTGCAGATTACATTAATGCCTATCTACGTTTTAAAAAAGCAAATGGCAGTGAAAATGTGAAAACTTGGCGGTGTGATATTGGTAAGCTCATCATATACAGAAACAAATCACTGAGTGGAGAGCAACACAAAACATCTGAGTAAAATAAATCGATGTAAACACTTTATAGATTTCCTATTACGCCAGGTTGATTTTTTTTTTAGGAATTTCTGCATGTAGACTGTGAGAGAAAAGAAAAGCCTAGCATTGTCGTTCTTCTGGATCGATACACACGTGCTAAACCGATCACAGCACACACACACACACACACACAGTTTCTGCTCCACCGGTCTGATACGATTAAGTGAGAGATCATGCGTGCCGGGAGCCCGTGCTCACAGAGAGACAATCAAGAGTCCGGCCCACCACAAATCAGAGAGCCGAGGACAGACTATTACACTCGCTGCGACCTTCTGATTCGACAAAGCTTCAAGGGCTTTGACTAGCATGGAGACTTTGACAAGATATATAATCATGAGGTTAATTTTAGAAGTGCAACACTGACTGACTTTTTCATTTTCATGAAAGTAAAGGAAGTTTTTAAATGTGTTTGTTTTCACTTTTGTTTAACTGAATGCATCCTTTCTGAATAAAAATATAAATATATTGATAACAAAAAATCTTACCAACCCAACTTTTGAACGGTATTGAATCAAAATACCAAGAGACTTGCCCCGAATTGATTGGATTAGCTATAATATTTGCATAAAGTTCAATTTAGAACCTTTTTTTTGCCAGAAATAAGAGAAAAAAATCTATGACTACTGGTCAAAAACCGTTACCTATCTTTTTATTTTGTCACCATTTACTCACAATTCTATATAATTACACTTTACAATAAGGTTTATTAGTTAACAGCATTCGTTAACTACATTAGTTAACTAATAATTAACTTTTCAGATACCGCGTATAAACTTCCGCTACCCCTGTCCCAAATGCCGCACTTCATGCGGACTTTCGATCTCGTGGACTTAAATTGCGCGACCTCGCCGAGTCTATGAGTCCGTAGGCCGTCTTATTTAGCATTTTGATGCTGTGAAGTGTGCTCAGCAGCGCCCCCCTTCTGCGAATCCCGCATAGATGCAGGCTCTACGCACTTTAACTACCCAGGAATCCGAAAACGGATGGGATTTCGCTCACGGACTGTAAACATGGCTGAGAAGAGAATATTTAAGTATCACTATGGTTTTTATGACAACTTACAGTTTATGCAAACATTATCGACCAGTGGTTGATATCTCAAACATAATAATAGCGCGTTAAATAATACGATCGCATTATTCGTTCATTTGCATAAATAGAACCGAATGTCATGGCTTTACTGAGTACGTAGTATGAATATTGAAACCTATACATTTTTCTTAAACTCATTTTCATTTTGTTTTAAAATTGAACATTATGTATTATTATGTACAACTGTATTTATCATTTACATAACCATGCTGTGTAGTTCACATGGACATAAGATTTGGCAAAATAAAATTAATCTTGTTTTCGATAATGATATTTGTGAACTTTTTCTAATAAAGGGACTGATGAGATGACCTTTAAGTTTATTCAGCTCTGTATGAAGAGGGATAAGGCTTTCACAGGCATGAGGAACACGTCTAAGCGCTAAAAATATGATTTCTCCGCATGAAGACATCTTGCAAAAATAAAAGGGTTAAGGGTTGTTTTAGGTTAAAGGTGATTCTGAAAAGTCAAAAAGTCGAGACAGGACCCATCGTCAACATTTCTGTGCCCACCACTCTAATTCATACAAAACAAACTAGAAAATAGACTAAAAGAGCTAAATACTGGAATTGTCCTTTAAAATCATACTGTATTATAATTAGTAAATGCACTGTGTGAACTAACATGAACAATGAGCAGCTGTATTAACAAAGATGGGCAAAAACAGTAACAAATGTATTGTTCATGTTAGATAATTCATTAACTAATGTTTAAAAAATGAACCTTATTGTAAAGTGTTATCATTACACGTCTTACATGAAACACAAATGTGTTTTACACTGGCATCCTGCTGCTTTCAGTCCATGTATGGCAGAGATCCCTTGCATGTGATGCTCGAGGGCTCTTTTATTGTTCCGGCTAGTGTCCTCAAAATTATGCTGAAGCCCCGGAGGAGCGTAGGAGTGCCGCTCAATGACTGAGATCCGGCACTAAATCAGCTTAACAAGAGAGGCAAGTCTCAGCATTCTTCCACATCAAAGCCACGCAAGCCCTGCCCCCAGATGATTCAAATCTGACCTTTCAATTCAAACGCCAAGAAGGACTTTCAAATTGGCAGAAACTCAGACACACACACACACACATACAGACCTTCACCACAGGCCAATAGTGCGGCTGACCCAAGAGCTTGGTGATGGCGGGGATGCCGTAATGCAGACGCACTGCATTCTGGGCCAGCTCTGCGTCGGGGTGACGGCTCGTGAGGTGACGCAGGGCACAGACCGCCGGCTCGGCCACGTCCTCCTTCTCTCCGGCTCGAAGCACGGCGTGAATCAGGGACTCCACCCCGCCGCTCTGCGTGACCAGGGCCTTGTTGCGCGCGTTGTTGCAGGTGAGGTTTGACAAGATGCCAGTAGCGCAGGTCAGCATGTTCACGTCATCCGAGCCCAGCTGACTCACTAAGATATGCAGGAGACCATCCAGACCTTCCTGTATCGACAGGAAACATTTCAAATGCATCACCATTCAAAGGTTTGCGGTCTGTAATACCTGGTTCAGATTACAAAAATGTTTTTGACTGTTAAAGGTCCTGTATTATGCCCCCCTAAAATAAGTCTCTGATGTCCCCAGAATTTGTATGTGAAGTTTCAGCTCAAAATACCCAACAGATCATTTTTTACAGCATGTTTAAATTGTCATTTTTTGGGGTTTAGAAAAGCGCGCTGTTTTAGTGTGTGCCCTTTAAATGCAAATGAGCTGCTGCTGCCGGCACAGGAGGCGGAGCTTCATGAGCTCAGCTGACTCACTAAGATATGCAGGAGACCATCCAGACCTTCCTGTATCGACAGGAAACATTTCAAATGCATCACCATTCAAAGGTTTGGGGTCTGTAATGCCTGGTTCAGATTACACAATTTTTTTGACTGTTAAAGGTCCCGTATTATGCCCCCCTAAAATAAGTCTCTGATGTCCCCAGAATGTGTATATGAAGTTTCAGCTCAAAATACCCAACAGAACATGTTTTACAGCATGTTTAAATTGTCACTTTTTGGGGGCTCAGAAAAACGCGCTGTTTTAGTGTGTGCCCTTTAAATGCAAATGAGCTCCTGCTGCCGGCACAGGGGGCGGAGCTTCATGAGCTCGCGCTCAGTCTCTCAGGACAATTTCATCTCACGGAATGATGATAATATCAGACACTCTCAGTAACGGTGTTCATTTCGAGTCGGACAATATAGAGATGGAACAGGTATAGTTTAGTAGTTTAATCACGGTTATTATAACGTATTTGTCATCTGCTTGTATGTAAACATTATTTATTAATAGCCTACAAGTCTGCTGTTTTGGACCAGGTCCGAATGATGATAAAACATATTCTGATGAGTTTAATTGTACATCACACAAAAGATGAAGCATCAGTTTTACTTCAGAAAATCACTGTAAGAGCTGAGAAAACACAGTAAGTTATAAGAAGTGCGCAAGTTGAGGGAGTTGATGGAGCGTTCCTGTGGGCGGACGTTAGTCAAAAAACTGTTCGACTGACGTCATTAAAGAAGGAAGTAGAGGGATGTAGTCCAAACGGGCCGTTCGATCTAGGCAACTTTTGTTAAATAAAATATCTCGCTTGGCTTTGAACTTTGAGCTTTATAATTTTACAGATATTATTTATACTCTAACAACAACATTACACACTAACTAAAGTTTGAAACATGGGATCACGAAGAACGGGCCTTTAAGATAATCACTGTGTCAGATTACGCGATTTTGACTCCTAAAATCTTCAAAAATGTCAGACTACACGTTGCTTCCTGACCAGTCATTGCATGCCGTCTTTAACGGCGCACGTGATGTCATCGAGAAGGCGAAACTAGTAGCGAGTGACTTCCAGAAACGAATGTAAACAAACAATGGATGACGCGTGAGTGTTGTATTGGCTTTCCTGTGTTCAGAAAAAAGTAAAAAAAGAGAGAAAACCCGACAATGGACACGTTCCTGGATTGCTCGAAGAGGACAGTATGGGCTGTCAATCCTCCAAAGAGAACTTAAGGTAAAATATTGTTTTCTTATATATTTTTACTTTAAGTTTTAACGTTAGCACCATCTTCTCTCTTTCGTTTCACCATTTTTGAAAGTTGTGTACGGAAAAGCTTGTGCTCCTATTGGTCAACCTCATACATGTGACGGAACCGGCGTCCGTTAAAAAAATTAAACATGCTAGTCTTTTTGTCGTGATGTCGTGACGCATCGCAGATGCGACGTAGGTTGTCACCCACTATGACCCACTATACAAGACGACACGATCGAATCTTGCGTCCCGACGCCCGTTGACGTTTACGAATCCGCACGACACCCTACATCAAACGGATCGTGCCAAAATCGGGCTAAAATCGTGTAATCTGAACCAGATTACTTCTTTCTATTTTAATATATTTTATAGGATTTTTTTTCTCCCACAACTTTTATTCTCTCAGGGAAAACAAAAGGAGACATTTATGGCAGAATGTTTCAATTAAAGTGAAAGGTGACCACAAGATTTTCTGTAAATAAAATTTCAGTCTGTTTCTAACATAGAGCATCTGAAGTCCTGCAATATGAGTCATATGAAACAATTTTGTGGTGCTTTTATGCTTCCTTTTTTGGCTTATTTGGAGCTTGATATGCCTAATGAACCAGAGAAGTACTTTAATCTACTGTACTCTAGGATGGTCAGTAAGATTTGTGTTTTAATGTTTTTGAAAAAAAGTCTCTTATGCTCATCATGGTTGTATTTAATTAATTTATTTTATGTGATGCAAAGCTTCTGTATCATTACTCCAGTCTTCAGAGTAACATGATCCTCATCAATTTTGAAAACGGTTGTGTTGTTTAATATTTTTGTGGAAACAGTGATACTTTTTCAGGATTCTGTGATGAATAGAAATAACAGCATTATTTACATTCATTTGTTATATAATACATTTATTTACTCTCACGTTTGATCAATTTAATCCATCTTTTTTTTGCATTTATTTTTAAAAAAATCTTAACTTAACCAAACTTTTGATCAGTTCTGTAAGTTAAGGTCCATTGACACCAAAGTAATATTTTGTGACTTGTTATAAAAGCACTTCTAATCAGTCTTGTGTTAAACCTATTACTGTATTTAAGCAGCAAATCTGTTTAAATCATCATTCTTACAGTTGTTTATGATTTCTGCCATCATGTCAGCAAAGTTGTAATATTTGATAACTACACACAAAAAAAATCATGTTTTTCACAAAACAAATCATGTAAACACATAATGGTTAAATCTTGGGGTGTAATATTTAAACAGTAAGTATTTTAATGTCCATTCTTCTGTAAGTACATCATTATAACCCAGATTTGGGGGTTTTTATGCATAAAAAAAGATCAGGGACAGAAAAAAATAATAAAAAAAATTCAAGAATCAGACAAACCGCTAATTATCACAAATGAAATAATGACCACGATAAGGAACAAATGAAAGAGGAAAGGCAGTGGAGGAAGGAGATAAGAAGGATTAGACGGACAGAATGACGTGAGCTCAAATTCAGCCATTTAAATTCTAGACACTTTCCGTAAGAGCAGAAGGGGACGCGTCTGTTCATAGTTGTTTTTGTTCTGTGAATTTAATAATAAGGACGAAAATGATAACCTGTTCATCATTAACTGTGTATTTTCTGGGCCACTGAATTCTGAGTAGCAGTAATGAGGGACAAATTGTGTGGAGGTGAGGAATAATTATAAAAGCCACAAGTCCCCTGAACTTTAAAAGCATTCGAAAGTACCGAGGGGGGAAACGTCAGACTACATGAAAGCCTTTTCATGGCTTTCAAGCTTTGTCTGGCCTGAAATCCTTAGGAGCATTTGCACATTTAATAATTGAACGCAAAACTGTGTAATGAAATGCTATTGTAACTTCATTAGTAGGCAAACATACTAATTATCTGGTTTTTAAAGACATTTCACAGTCAGATTCTTGATTGACTGATTTAGGATAAATGGGGTCATTTTGCTTCACTTTATGAGGAAATACAGTAACATAAAAAATAACTGTAATTATAAATTCAATTCCATATTTCAGCTGTATTTCCTTTTGAGGAACAGACGTAATTCTTAAAAGCAATAACAGAGCAGATATATTTGTTAAAATAATTGAAATAGCTTCCCTTAACCAATTAAGCTCCATTACCTGCTTGGTTGCAGCATCAGAGAGATTCCTCAGGGTCCACAGGCAGTTCTGTGTTAGACGCTGACTCGAACCTGTGAGATGTTGGCCGAGGGCCTGCATACCTCCTGCCAAACGGAGAGAAAAAGGGTTTAGAGTCCATATTTATCGGACTTAGCCACAAAAAAAAAAAAAAAAAGAACAAAACTATTCAGCTACACAACCTGCTCTAAAAAGAAGGCTGTATTCTCCATGGATTAGCCATTGTCTGCCAAGGGGAGAGAAATGTCTTTTGGAGTCGGTGCAGATAAACTAAAAGGCACATGGCTTAGGAAGATAAAAAGAGGGAAGGAGATTAGGAGACATCCTTGAAAACTGCCTCTCATCCAGTGTTGTAACTACCTGATCCTCAGCGCTTTCTCAAGACGAGCGCCAAAGCTTCATATGGGAAAGGACAAAGTCACGCCATGACTGTGAAGACTTCTATGAGATCAGCCCTGGCAGGCGCGATAGTGCGAGATGTTTGAGTCCTATAACCTTTCCCTTTGTATATTTAAGTATTAATAAAGTAACATCCATGACTGCTGTGAGGATGTACTGACAGGCGGAGTAGGTCAAAGGTGGGGTTTAACATAAAGATGAACATTTAATTGAGTTCAATGGCCGAATCAACTATAAATCATGTATCGCTGGGACTGTAGTGTAGTGGTTTGCACGTATGCTCCTGATATGTTGAGGCTCATGTGGATGATGCAGGTTCAAGTTGGGAGTCCCGATCCCATTTCCCTACTTTCCCCAACAATTCTGGCAATTGTCTGTCATGATCATTAAAAAAAAACATGACGAAGATCTGAGAATTTTACAAATAGTGTTTTTTCTAAACTTGGGAAAGTCATGGGATGGTAATAAAAAAGAAAGACAAGCTGTGCACAGAAGCTCAGATCTATTGATTTCCATTGAAATCTCATTTGTCTTTTTGGAGCTTTTGCACACAAAACATACACTATACCATTCAAAGGTTGGATGTCAGTATGATTTTTATTTTTATTTTTATTTTTAAAGAAATGAATACTTTTATTCATCAAGATTGCATTCAATCGATCAAAATTGAGGTAAAGACATTTGTATCTATATAATAGTCCAAAATATTTCTATTTCAAATAAATGCTGTTCATTTGAACTTTCTATTCATCAAAGAATACTGAAAAAAAAATGAAATATTAAGCTGTTTCCAACATTAATATTTTTGAAGGAACGCGTGACACTTAAGACTGGAGAAATGATGTTGGAAATACAGCTTTACTATTTTAAAATACTATAAAATAGAACATTTTAATTGTAACAATATGATTGTTTTAATGTATTTTTGATTAAATAAATGCAGCTTTGGTGAGAAAAGGAGACTTCTTTCAAATACATGAATATAAAAACCCAAACTTTTAAACTGTAGTGTATAATTCAATGTTCAAATGTTTTTATTCACAGGATTGGCACACGACAAACAAATAATCGCCCCCGGCAATCTCATAAATATATCTTTTAACAACCATGAATGAATAGAAAAGTCATGGAAATTCATTAATCAAGAAGTGGGGGGGGAAAAGATGCAAAAAAACCCAAACAAAAAAAAAAAATTAGATGGAGATTGCGATATTATAGGGAAATTATACAAAACGCCCAAGAGAACAGTCCTCGGGAATGAAAGAAAAGAGATAATAATATTCCTTTAGGGTCTAGGAATAGAAGGAAAACATTACAAAAGTGAAACAAAGACAAAACATACACTCACCAGAGTCAACAATAGCCGGCTTGTTGCTCGGACAGACAGAAAGCACCTTCAGGACTCTGCTGGTGGTCCATAGGAGCTTTTCATAGTTGTGGTTTCTCATAATGAACACCAAACTTTCTGGCCCACCATTTGCCAAGATGATCAACTGTGAAGAGAGAATTATGAGACATTCACTCTACAAACTTGATTCCATTCTCAGTGTTGCCACAGGGGGCGCTGCAATGCACACACACACACCTTGCTCTCCTGATTGCCGTAAGAGAGCAGCTGCAGGCAGTCTGTGGTGATGGCCAGGAACTTTGGGTTGGACTTTTTCAGAAGGGGGACCATTCTTTGTAGTCCATCGGCCAAACGCACGGCCATCTTGGCTCCCTCCTGGTGCAGTAACAGGTTGTGTAACGTGGTAATGGCATAGAACAGCACCGACTCCATAGGGGAACTGAAGAACGAATAGAATATTATCAACAAATGGGTCAAATAGATTGTAATGTCCAGAAACACTAAATATGATGCGAGGGACACTCTTCCTAAAATATAAAAGCAGCTGCAGATTTTAATGTATACGGACATACATTTTGTCTTAAAGCAAACGTGAAATTAAAAGGTTTCAAAATATGTACACTTTCAACATAAAATTATTATTCACTATTTTGTCTGACGGAAAAATATTTACTTTTATTTAATTATTTATATTATTTATAATTTTTAAAGTATTTTCTAATTATTTATATTTTTTCAAGCCAATGTTGCAAGAAAGGAGATTAACATGATTATTATTAAAATAAATTTAAAAAATATAATTTTTATTAAAATAAATAATATTTCTAAATTAAGTATTTTAATATAGACATCATATTATAACATAATACAATTTAACTATTTTTTGTTTATTTCTATTTTTGTACTATTTTTCACTAAACTTACTTTTTATGTCATATTATTAAAATTAGTGCTATCAAATTGATTAATCGCATCTACCATAAGAGCAATGCTAACCAAGTATTTGTAGGTTGAACAGACAAGCTCATTGGCTACTACTGATACAGCAGGAACCAATCAGCTGTGCTCTATAGATAATGATGTGATTACAAGCAGGTTAAAGAACCTATTAGAGTTTCATGTCTGAACTTTGTGTGTAATGTAAATGTATGTATATATATATATATATATATATATATATATATATATATATATATGCGCCATGTCAGGATGTGCAGTATGCGATAAGCGAATGGCTTATATAGTTGTCTCTGCATATTAAACTGAAAGAAAAGAGTGCTTTCACATCAGAAAAATGACACACCTCACCTTTACAAATCTGGGCTTCTATTACAGTGGTTACACGCAGAAATTTTTAAGATCTCACCATGGCATCCTTGATAATGATAATACAGGCTGGCTGCACCAAGGAGACTCTCCATGTAACTTAATAAACTGATACTGTGTCAAAGTTACAGCAGCCCTGGTTGTGTGGTCATAAAGATTCTGCTCTGCTCTATTATCTCAGCATCTGCTATAAATGGGCTTTCTGACAGAGCAAATTTGCCATCACAGTCCAAATATATCTCTAAAATACAGCTCTTCTATGGCCCCTATTACAGGGTGGTGTAGTGGACGTTTTCTCACACAAAAATAGGCACATTGTCCTGCTTTAGCATTGCTTAGTCACAGTGTTCATCAGAATGCATCACAGGTTAGCTCTAGGCATCATTCACAAAATATAAAGGAGATAAAGTGAGCACAAATTAATGTGCGCCACAATGAGAAAGAAGCTTAACGCACACACCACGACTGGGAAAGAAAAGACCAGACCCAAAATGGAAGGATTATGGCTTCCCTCCTGAAAAGACCAGTTTAAACTAGCATGAATTTAGTAGATACCACCGATTTGGTGATGATCGAGCCCGGTCCGCCTGAGGTTCTCTTAGGAACTGTGAGTGTCCATCAAACGTTTACCACTATTCAACCAAAACATGTGTCTGGCCAAGAACAGTCAAGGGACTAATTAAAACACAAACGCATCAGACCATCTAAGCATCTGTCATTCACCATTTTTCTTATATTAGAAACACATAAGTGAACACAGGGTCTCTGCATTTTTCCAAGACTAAAAAATGTGATATTTATTAGCCTTTGGTGATATTTAATATTCTGAGAAGGCTTCGTTTCATTATTTGCCATCTTTTTGCTTAATACCATAACTTTGCCCAAGCATCCACTGTTACAATGTGGATAATTCATGAAATTATTTAAATAGTCAAAGTGCCTTGGCCATCTTTGAAAAGCCTTTCAAGCAGCTATTTCAGGCATGCAAGTGCAGCTCCTGTCTATTTAAATGGGGAAACATCAAATTCCCCAAAGCTGTTCACCAAGAGTCCGATTTAATTTCGTATTTAAAGTCACCAAAGAAATCTGACAACAACTATCTCATACATTCGGTTTCTAAAGGCTCAAATCATGACAAAAAAACGCAGGTCTCAGTACTATTACTGTTTCTATAAACGGTTTGTAGCTACGCCCCTTTTCACCACTGTCCTCCTCATTGTGTCCTGTCTTCCGGTTGGTATTTCCACAGGATGAAGGTAAGATTTTACAGATTTATGAATGAACCGGTCTCGGTCTACTGACATATGATAGCTTTTCTTAATTCTACAATAAGTCCACTTCACTGATGCCATAGAAATATATGCCACAGGATAATTCTCCTCCAGCATTCTCCCTGTAAGACTCTCCGATTACCTACCCGTTTTCTCACCTTTTAAGTTATGCTGAACGACAATTCCCATATCCTGGTTCATATGGAAACACGCCACATTACAGTAGGAAAATGCTTTTTGTGCATACACTCACCTGAGCATGCGCACGAGTGCGGGGATGCCACCCGATTTGAAGATAGCTAGCAGTCCCTCGCGCTGGTGGGACAGGCTGTGGAGGACACTGGCAGCGCAGCGGGCCGTCTCCAGATCTCCAGTGTTCTGCATGGCCCTCACCACAGCCGACACCATCTGAGGAGACTGCATGAGCACACGACGGGACGCCTCCTTACGCGTCAGCTGGTTCACGATGAGGGCTGCCTTGTTTACCACCACCTGCCATCGGGAAAGAAAATGTCTAAACTCTAAAAGTTCCAGAAGGTTTTTTGAGAACCATTTTGGGTTCCACAAAGAACCTTTCAGGGAACAGTTCGTGAGCTTAGAATTATAAGGTTCTATCTCCACTTTTGGTGAAAATTGAGTTTTTGACATAATCTGATCCATTAGGTGTTTATTAATGCCTGTGTGGTGTTATTTTTGTAAAAAAAAAAAAAAAAAAAAGATTTTGCCAGGTGGGATGTAAAAACTTTGATGCTCAATATCTCAGAACTACCCTAAACGGATATAGAACCTTATAATTCTAAGCTCACGAGTTCTTAAAAGAACCACTGTTTTAGTGTGAAGAAGATTTTTAATCTAAAAGAACCTTTTTCCACAATAACGGTCCTTTTGTGGAATGAAAATGTTTCTTTATGTAACGATAGATGCCAATAAAGAACCTTTATTATTCACCCTTATTATGCATTAAAAAAGCCAGGATTGGACCCAGTGGAACGTAAGCTTTGTAAAACCGTCATAACTTAATATTTTTCAACTAAAACTATATTGTAACTAAAGGCCAATTTATACTTCTGCGTCGAGGATATGCCGTAGTGTACGGCGGAGGGTTTAAATGTTCCACTGTGTTTAGATTCCTCACGGCTAGGTTACTACGAGCAATGGCAACTGAAAGAGAGTGGATCATGTTGGAGTTGGAGCTCATTGAGGTGGAAAAACAGCTCATTTTAGTGAAATTACTAAAACTAAAAGGCAGAAACGAGAGAAGACGTCGGAGGAGATGGTACGTGCGGAAATGCGTAGGAGAAAATGCGATGCTACCAAGCCGACAAATCACAGATTTTGCGGCCTTTGCCATTGCTGAACACGACCTGCTTGTATTTCTCAATTTCAAACATTTGTTAATTGTTATAAAAATACCCCGAGCCACATGAAAAACACATACAGAACATACAGTATATCGTCATGTTTCATCCGTACACTCTTAGAAGAAAAGGTTCTATATTATAGAACCTTAAAAGGTTCTATCAGCGCTACGTATTTGGAACCCCTAAAAGGTTCTATACACTCTTAAAAAAGGGTTCCTCTTGGTTCTATATACATAGAACCCTGGGGTTCCATACTTTTACAAAAAAAAAAATATTCTATTCTATATAGAACCATTTTGGAGTTCCATATATGAAGCGGGGGATGGAACCATTTCTGGTTCTAAATAGAACCATTTCTTCTAAGAGTGTAGAAACGTTTCTCTCAATTCTTTATGTGCGAAAGGGCACGAGTTATGAACAAGACTGACAGATCTAGAGCGAATGGGCTCTCTGACTCATAACACTCGTGCGCCGTGGAGGAAAACGGACAGTGCTCTTCAGATCGCATAATTCAGTGGAAAATGAATAAAAATGGTTTTCTGTATACAGAAATATTCAAGTAAAGATGAGAATATATCTATTCTCAGACAATAGGGATAACAAGAACTCAACGTCCATTCTCTTCTCTCTTCGAGAAAACGTTTCTTCACAGGTTTTCAAAACAGCGCCACCACTCTCACACTTTTGTGCAACAGCAGCGGCTCGGGTAAGCTCAAATCTAATTGGACGGCTCGTTCCATCGTGGGGCGGTGAAAAAAATAATAAAAATCGACGCAGTTTTGAAAAATAAATCTCGCTTTGCGCCTGTTGTGAAAAGCTCCATAGGGATCTATTGTTATAATTCAAGAGCGACATCATGACGAACACTCTTACGAATTATTGCGTTCAGTGTAAAAGGCCCTTTACCATTTTTTAAAATGCCATCACTACATTTCCCACCTTTTTTTTAATTGAAATTTTTGTATTTTGACAGCATTTCATTTTGGTATTAAAAATAATAGATTTTTATAAGAATTTGAATACCACTTCTGGGTCAAAATTGACCCGAATGCTTTAGCTGGGTTAAGAGTGTAGCAAGTCTAGTAGAAGTCATCTAGCATAGTGTAGTGTAATATAGTATGGTCGCATACCTGTCAGTCCAATCATATTGTCCCCATGATCCTAAATAAGCCGAGTGTTTTCAGTCATTCTTTGCGAAGTCTTGTATTTGTGTTACACTGCAACTTTGAGTGATATCCTGGTTTCCTGTGTTTTTGATTCTTTAGCCATTGTTCTGGATTACCCTGTTTGCTTGTGTTTCATGTTTGACCCTTTGCTTATGATTCTGGATGGCCCAATAAAGCTGCATGTAGATCTTCAACCCAAGTCTCGGAGCAGTTTGTAACACATATGTATTTTGCTTAAAGAACAATATTTTACAATTGGTGAGAATTAAAATTCTTCAATGTAAAGAAATAAAAATATGTATTAATTAGGGCTGTGCAAAAGTTAATCCAAAATAAAAGTCTGTGTTTACATAATATATTTGTGTGTGCTGTATATAATTATTTTGTAAATATAAATACCTATGCATGCATGTATATATTTAAGAATTATTTGCGCTTAAATTCTGTATATATTTATAAATACATAATCTATATTATATAAATATAAATATTTTATATATGAATAACACATTTTCTTAAATATATACATGCATGTGCGTGTATTTATATATACAAAATAATTATACACAGCACACACAAATATATTATGTAAACACAGACTTTTATTTTGGTTGCGATTGATCGCAATTAATTTTTGTACAGCCCTAGTATTAATACACAAAAACATACAAACATATGCTAAATTATACACATGGCATGAATAGAAAAATTAACAAATATGTTTTCTACTGTAATTGTTTTTAGAATTTCATTGGTTGCATGCTCTTAAAAACCGATAATATACTAAAGTTGTTTTCCACAATATACTGTATATCATAGCACTTTTTTCTCTCTCTTTTGTTTTGTTTCACTTCATTACTCCTTTCTCAGGCCCGTCCTGTGAGATTTCCCATCTTGCATCTTTTCATTACCCTTTTCTTTCTGCATCTCATTTCACCATGTGCGCAGCCGGGTTTAGTCTCTGAGAGTGACAGCTACTAAGTCAAAACTTCTGTAATTTCACTCTAGACAATTTTGAAGATATAAGCTGATGTGGGATATCAACAGAACAAAAGCTACTGTATAGTCTTTTGCAGAACTGTACTGTTTTATCTCCGTTTTATTAAAAGTCTTTTGTTTTTCATAATTAACTGACGGCATTTTCAAACAGGTTTTACTAGATTCCCAGCCTCAAACACGCATGTTTAATTAAAAGGGTTTCGTGTGATGGTTGTGTCTGAACGTTGTACCTGGTCGTCATCGGCCAGCAGTTTGGTGAGCTCTGGTACGGCACGTGTGGCCAGCTCGGCATCGTCCTGATAGTTGATGAGATGTACGATGGCCGTTTTCAGCAGCTGCGAGGGCTCGGCCAGTCTCTGGACATTGGTCGGCTGGTCTGGATTGTTCTGTGTGGTGAGCACCGTCTCTCCCTCCACTAGCGTCTCGGGGAACATGGCTGCACGCACTCTCTGGGCTCGAGTTAGACTGTATTGAGCCTCAACGTCTGAGTGCAGAAAGAGAGAAATAAGAGTCATATTGAGTTATTTGCTGTTAAAGGTGCAATATGTAGGATTTTTGCCAGTGTTGTAGTCGAGACCACCTCACTCGAGTCCGAGTCGACACCGAGACCAGAGAGAGTCGAGTCCGAGTCAAGACCGAGTCCATAGAGAGTCGAGTCCGAGTCAAGACCGAGTCCATCGAGAGTCGAGTCCGAGACCAGAGACGGTCGAGTCCGAGTCGAGACCGAAACCAGTGAGGGTTGATTACCTAATTTACTTTTATTTATTTAGAGAAATCCTTTTTTTTTTTTTTTACTGAATTTACTTAGAGTTTAAACAATATGATCAGTTTAGGGTAAAAAGGCCACATAGTAGGTGGTGTTAAAAGTAATTTTATTAAAATTTGTCATGCACAGTTGCGCACTAGAAAATCACCAATCACTGGGCGTGTCAATCAATTTAAAGAAATATTTTATTATTGTTATCATGAAAAAGTATTATCATGAAAAATATTTTTAATTGAACTCCAGTGGACTCGGGAATAATTCCGAGTCCTAAAAAAAAAAAATGTTCGAGTACGAGTCAATTCCGAGTCCAAATGGACACGAGTCCATGACAAGACCAAGACCATTAAAATATGGTCTCGAGACCGAGTCCGAGACGAGTCCGAGTCTCGAGTACTACAACACTGATTTTTGCAGTAAAATATCCCAAAACCATCAGGCCAATGTTATATATTTTATTTAGTTGATTACTTACAATATCCCCAATGTTTCCAATTATTTGTAAATCGTGAGAAAATTGCAATTTTAACCAAGGAAACGGGACGTGATAGCAGGGGTGAGGAGTCGCCAGTCAATGGCGGCATATCAACGTTACCATCGGTTTCCGCTCGTACTGCCATAGTAACCATGGCAACAGACGTGGACAACTGGGTTATGCTTAGAAGAATGTATTTACTCATCCATAAAAGATCCATCAGCTTGACGACAATATCCATAATTCATCGATTTAAGCCTTTGTTATTGTAAGAGGTTAGCGACCCCTGGAGGCCAAAAATTACATACTGCACGTTTAAGAGGTGATCTTATGATTATAATAATAATAGCATACTTTATATTTAATAATAGAACACAAATTAAGTGTCCTAAAATTACAAAAAAATAACACAGAACAGGAAAAGTCCACAAAAGACAAGGAAAACACAAAATTAAATTACTATAATTAATTACATTGAGCACAATATATTAGATATGCAGACTTCGTGCATTAAAGGGGTCATGAACTGCATTGTTTTCTGCAGTGCATTTATAATGTTAATATGATTTTTACTTCAAAAATGGCATAATTTAGAAATAAAAGGCATTTTCCTAGCATAATTTTAGCCCCATGAGTCCAGAACTCAGTCACTGATAAACAGACACACGCTGTTTGATTGACAGCTACAGCTTTTGTAAGCGGAGCATTCTTTGATCGCTTTTTATATATAATTCAATCAGTTTAACAGATTATTTACACCCTACTAAGAGAAGCAATGTGAAGTTGACTGTTTAGTCACTGGTTTGATTTACAGACAGGATGAAGAACATCTGACTGTAGCTCCATGAATCATGACATCAGAAATCACTGGTCACAGATCAGGCAGTAGAATTAAAACGGTTGTTTACATGTGTAATTCCAGTCAATATCGTAAAAAGCCTGCGCCGAGTTTGCGAACTGATTTACCAAAGAATCCAGTGAAATGAACACATTCCCACACATTTAAAAAAAAACACACATTCCCAGCATTAGGATCCTTTGAAAGGTAATGTTATTTTGAGTCCAGTGAGTGACCCTGAGCTCTTCTCTCTTCCTCATCTTACTCACGCCTGGGCCTGCTAACCATAAAAGCTGATTTTGGACTAACAAGGACGTTTTCAGTTCTGAAACGTTCAGGATATTCTTAATATGATGACCTCTTGTATGTCAAAACCTCAAGGAAAATTTGATTTCTCAGTTCATGACCCCTTTAATATAGAATCATTGTGCAGTTACAGGTGTCTGCATATCAGCTATTTTATCCGCAAATTACACCTACTGTAGATTGCGGCTCTTCCAATCAGAGTCAGTTTTATAAAAACCATCATTTTAAAATCCATCCCAAGGTGCAATATTTCATAGCGTGGTGCAGTGGAGACGTGGTTCAGGGCAAATAACAGAATAGATTGACACCAGAGAACCAGAGGAGGGAATAATGGGAGTGTGTCTGTGGCAGTCTGAATAAAGTGCAGCCCGTGCTGGAAGCCTTGTGAGCGTCAGGAAGGGCTCTGTTGTGATAGCAATAATGTTGAAGTGAACCTACTGAACTGTGTTTAGAAGAGTTTTTAAATGTCACTGGCTCTGGGCGGACAATAAATTTGCAGCTTTCCTCCAAAACTGCGCATATGCTGCCATGCTGAGGAATCTATTTTAAAATCCCCAGATATTTCGAACTGACGACGACAAAGAATAATGAGAAACGTTTCATATGAATATTGAATTGATAAAGCAACAGATTTCTTTGAGCCGTGGCACAGCAGTGAATGCACGTCCTCCTGTCGATGTACTTTTTTTTTTTTAAAGTTAAGAAAAAAAAACAACGCTTTCCAAAAGTCGTACAAGGCCAGTGAAACCACACAGCGCTTGTGGGAGGGTTCAACGCTTGAACGCCACCGACTCTAATGTGAAGTTTTTTTGGGGGCCCTCAGGTTATATAATTCATCAAAATGTTTGGAGAGGCATCGGAAAAGCTTTAGAGAGAACATTACCTGTGGCGCTCTCCACAGCACTGGCACTGATGCTATACTTCTTACAGCTCTCAGACTCCTCCTCATCACGAATGGTGGTCGCCCCGGACTGAATCCCCGAGTCAGAGGCGTAAAACGTCTGCTGCCACTCTTCCACTTTCACAGCCCCTTCTGCCTCACTCACTGCAGAACAGGAGCAACACAATCACTACTTATATACTGTACATTTAGAAATTGTAATTGATTGAATTATATGTATATATATATATATTCAATATTAATATAAATCTCCAAATAAGAAGCATAACATATAAAAAATAATATTTAAATTGTAATTATATTATATATTCTATGATTCTATGATAAATTGTAGGATGTTAGCATAGATATGTATATATTATATCATAAATACAACCATTGTATATATATTTACATATATATACATAATTTAATATTTATTTTAACTAATTGATACTTTTTAATGCTTTTAAAAGTCACAATAAGAAAATCAGTGACAATTACCATGCAAAATCAGATTTTCTTGTACAAGAAACTTGATCACCAGAAAAGCAGCTTAAGTGTTGCTGTCATTAAAGAATCATAATATGACACTGGGATTTATGTAAAATTATACTGCTAATATAATTGATCCATTTTAACAGGTGGTCTTAGACTTTTGGAGCATATTGTACTGTATCTACATGGCACTTTAAAGGGTTAGTTCACCCAAAAATGAAAATTCTGTCAGTATTTACTCACCCTCATGTTGATCCAAACTTCTATGTGTTTATTTGTTCTGCTATACACAAAGGAAGATATTTGGAAGAATGTTTTAATCAAACAGATCTCAATCCCCATTGACATAGTATGTATTTTTTCCTACTATGGTAGTCAATGGGGAATGAGATCTGTTTGATAAAAACATTCTTCCAAATATCTTCCTTTGTGTTCAGCAGAACAAATAAACACATAGAGGTTTGGAACAACATGAGGGTGAGTAAATACTGGCAGAATTTTCATTTTTGGGTGAACTAACCCTTTAACTCCGCATGTCCTGTATAACTGAAAAAAGTCAGTTTAAGAAAACATTATAAAAAAGAAAAAAAAATGTAGCAATTCTAAAAAAAATTAAACTTACTTTGCAGTGACATCACCACTGTCCAGCCTTAATTCAACCTGTGATGAAACATGAAGCAAAGTTTTAGACTGCATAGAGAACAAGAGAGATGCAGTATGAATGCAGTGATCTGCAATGTGAAATGACAGCATGCACCAGTTTAGAGGGAAAAGCACCACTGGGACTTAAAAATAGTGAGCAGGCAATGCTATTTATAAAACTACTGCATAGAACGATCGCACAAATCATAGTAGCTTCCCCAAAGTGGAATTTCAATGCTTCATTTGTAGTTTGCTCGATGGGAGAGAGAACTGAAAGTTCATATTCACAAGGACTGAAAATCTCAAGAGTCTTTTTCAGTGCAGGTTTTGTCATTAATGTCTCGACGACGCTTCATTCATGACTATAAATACCCCAGACTATGAGGAGGGAAATGGCTGGAGATGAAGAAGCATGATGGATAAAGACAACACCTTCATCTGAACCTACGTCAGTGGCAAAAACGTCTGTGAACTTTGTGCTTTCATGTGATACAAAATAATTTATTATATATAAAAAATTGTTTATTAATAATAAAATAAAAATATTAAAATAAAATGAATCATCATAAAAAAACATATTTTATTTATGTATTATATTTATAATTAAAGCGTATAGTTTTAATTTAATAACATTGAAAATACCTGTGATAATAGTGATTAAAAATACATAACAATTATTAACTGTATTACATTTTCTTAATTAAAAATAAAATATTAAATTAATTTATGAAAATATGTTATTTTTATTTAGAATTATTAACTGTATTACACTTTCTTGAAAAAAATTATAATTACATTAATAGCACTGAAAACAGCTGTGATAAGTGATTAAAAATGCATAACAATTATTAATAAATGTATTTATTTTATTCCTTAAAATAAAAATATTAAATTAATTTATTAAAATTAAAATATACTATTTTTTATTTATAATATTTATAATTAAAGTGTGTATAGTTTTTACATAAATTACACTGAAAACAGCTGTGATAAGTGATTAAAATGCATAAAAATTAGTAACACATTTATTTATTTTATCCCTTAAATACAAATATTAAATTAATTTAAATGTGTATAGTTTTTACATTGACACAAAAAAAATAATTGCATAACTGAGATTTAAAAAAATGATTATCAATGAACAAAATTAACTGCTATGCATAGAAGTCTAAAGCCCCACATACAATAGAAACTCAAACTCTTTGCAGCAGTTACAATTCATTCATTTTTTTCTTGACCTTTAGTGTGAAAGAAAGAAAACTTAGATTATCAATATCTCCTAATGCACAAAAATAAATAAAAGCATGATGCTCTCTTGTATTAGTGATGCAGAAACCAAGTTGGACCTGAATTTTAATTCACGAATATAAAAATACTTGCAAGAGCATTTCATCAAAAAGTGGAACTAGAAAAGACACCATTTCTTTTATAAAGCAGTGACTAATCCATTTTATCTCTTTGAATTACTTCCTTATGGTACCACATCTTACAAGATCTTATTTTCCCTTTTTTTTGGTTCCTTCCATTTCAATTTAAATGGAATCCAGCTTAAAAGGAATCTCTGTTTAGTATTCCCGGCTCTTCCTCGCTCTTGCCATTCTCCTGTCTTCAGCTTCTCTTTATAAAACATTCAAGTATGAGTACAGTTTGCCTCTGTCCCTCAGTTTCATATGGAGATTTGTTGTTATTTTGTTGTTATGACACCACACGCCTTGCATTTTCCACACTCATTAATCACATTAATGTAAACTAGACATTAACACAACAAACACACACACACACAACACTCCAGCGGTCAGTAAACCACCTCAGAACTGATTAAAAGAGGAACATGTCTTAAAAAAAATGACAGCCGCTTTGGAAATGTACCCAAAAGGCATTAAAGATCCATTAATTATGCAAGCACTGATTAATTAAAACATGTTTTCTGGGTTAAACAAGGTTTAAGAGGAAGTGCGAAGTATTGCGTCTTCCTTATTCCACTAGCCTGGGAAAACTTCCGGCAAATTTAGATTTGCTCTGAAAGTTAGTCTGCGTCAAAATTCGCCTACTTATACTATGCCCTAAAAGTACTCTTTTTGTGAGGAAAAAGTTCACACTTTTGAGTGTGTAGCAAAAGAGTAGGCAAGTTTTGGCAATTCGGCAATCTTTAACGGACAGATCAGTCGCGTGCATCCTATCGCCGTAAACTGCCCTGTCAATCATCTTGTCAGTTAAAATCCTCCATTCAATCGAAGTTAATTTCTTACGGTATCGGAGAGAAATGTTGTCACACGTTTATATGCCAGTCGTTGGTCTTTCATGCCGAGACTCTCCTCGTGTGTTTGGAATTTGAATATAATAATGCATTTAAACGTATCTTTGCAAAAGTTCACAATGCTGCTGCAATAAAATGTGGACAACATTGAATAAATTTATTTTCGTCAGATTGGATATTGATAATTAATCACACAAACCCCTTTATCTAAACCTCTCTACACAACTCGCGCATCCTCCATGTTGTTGAACACTTCTCACTCGTGTTTGTAGTTCTAACCGAATGCTCGTCCAACGCGACGCGCGATGGGTTGTGGACAATAGCCGTTAGAGTGTGCATCGATCTGCACTTCGGATTCTGACCAGAAATAGTAGACCATCCGGGTCTCTTTGGAACACTCATTTCATTTGGGACGAACTAATTCTATTTTCGAATACTACTTTGGACGGATAGTATGCGAATTGGGACGCAGCATTAGTCTGGCAAAGAGCTCATTCAAGCCCATTTCCAATCCGTCGAAATCGCGGCACTAATCAGAAACACTGGGGCAGGCTTTGCACGATGACGACAGTGCTGGGATTTTGAAGCAGATTATTTTGCAGCCTACATTACAAAGATGGATGCCGCCGTCGAACATCACTCGTTCGAATCAGCTATCGCGACTGTTTTAAGTGGTTTCAACGTTTCTTTTTTTGTTAAAAACTGAGCAAAGAACAACATTGTTTCAATGTTTCTCCGCCGCTCTACATATGTCAACTCCTTCATCGCTCAGGGGTGCGTTTCCCGAAAGCATCGTTAGCCAACTATGGTCGCAAGTTCCGTCATTGTCAGCATAATTCAACGAGTCGGTGTTTCCCGAAACAATCGTTCTAACGAATATTCGCAAGCAGCATCGCAAATTTGTGTGGTTTGAACGACAGCTCTCAACCTGTGGTTAGAAGCAGTTTCTATATTGCATCACATTTCGACATGAACTTGAGCTAAATAAGCAAACTAAATAAACTTGAAATCAAACGCGTTGTTTCAACGTTATGAAAGCAAACCAATTTTCGATTTTTATTTAGCTTTGAAGAATGCCGCGTCTGACGTTGGTTCAACGTTAATTCGATGAGCAAAATCAACGTTGTTTCAACGTCATGAGAGACGTCGTTTCCACGTTGATTCAATGTCAGTTTGCTGTCTGGGACGTCAGACGTGGCATTCTTCAAAGCTAAATGAAAATCGATCAATTGGTTTGCTTTCCTAACGTTGAAACAACGTTGATTTCAAGTTGATTTTCCGTTAGTTTTGAAGAACGACGCGTCTGACGTTGGTTCAACGTTAATTCGATGAGCAAAACAATGCCAGATCAATGTTGTTTCGATGTCATGTTTCCACGTTGATTCAATGTCAGTTTGCTATCAGGGAAACCAACGTGAACGATACTGGTGCGCATCGAACAAGCTAGCCACGACCGCTGAAAAGATACGAAACGAACTCGAAAAATATTAATGGATCACGGACCAAAGACAAATAAATAAACCAAAAACAGGACATGATGTCACAAGATGCGACCCTAAGCAGGACAGAATGCTCAGGAATGCCTTTTTGTTTCTCGTCATATACCGTTAAAAAGTATTTTCTTTATAATATGAATGTGTGAGGTATGAATGTAATCTAGACGTCACATGTTGTCATTGTCATGTGACTTTACCGGTGTCAACTGACCGTGGCCTCATGGTATCGTCTATAATATGTACACTTCGGAATCTCGCCGGGAGTAGGGGAATTTTCACTTATCGTTTTTCGTATAGTATGTAGTATGTTTTTCGTTATAGTATGTATTCGGACATACTATACTCAGTTGGCCTACTGTTCTTTGCATACTATACAGTAGAGAAGTATTCGATTTCGTACGCAGTGTGTGTGAACGCTAATTTTTTTGAAAGAACCGAACTACAATTGTGAACACAATTTACCAACAAAAAATACAGTGTAGTTTTATGGTGTTTTTTTTTTTTTTTTTTTTGGGGGGGGGGGGGGGGATTTTTTATAGTTCAACAGCTTGCATTATATGGGGAAAAAACAGCTTGTTTTCTGTTCCATAAAAGGTTAGAGAATGACACGAGGGTGAGTAAATGATGACACAATTGACAGATAGATCTCCTATAATGCTGTTGACAAATGCAAACAGAATCCATCCTGTGAGGTTGAGTATTTATAGCTTCTGGCACATGTGATCAGGATGGCAGCGCCGAAGAGGAAAATTATTCGAGTGCTTTCATCTCAAATTATATGTTCCAAGGTCCTAACTATGGTTAGAAATTCAGGGATATGAGCAAAAATATTCTCCCACTCACACAAAATACCATACTAATCAGAACAGTGACATTTCATTTCTAGAGGCTTCCGGGCCAGGCCAAACTTAATTTAGAATTGAGAGATGCATGTTTTGTGAATATGCATATAGAGTGACTTTATGGGCATGTCTTTGTCAAGAACAAATTTGTAGCATACCTAATGAAAATCATCCAGAAATGCTGCTGTACAGTAATCTATTAGTGACAGCAGAGTAATTTCAGAGTAATTTGCATAAGCGCAGATTTCATTAAAAACGATGTCGACCAGACAAATTCCTGACAGCAAATCTTGAAGGAAACTAACCAATTTAAAGGTGAAGTGTGTAACCTCTCTGCAGCTAGCATCATCCAACAATTTTAAATATAATGCTAAAATAATTACAAACAGGTTTCTCAAACATGCCTGCCATTGGTTAAACAAA